GCTTTAGGGGGAAACTTTACTTTTTTTTCTTTCTTCTTAATTTTTATTTGGTTTACTTTTAAAATTTCATTTGAAAAACAACCAGCAAAAAACGTAATTCATGTGTATAATTGAAGAACATTAACTTGAAAAAAATTTCAGTTAATTGCTTTTCTTTTTTAAACAGTTTAATAAATAAGGAAAGTAGCTATAACAAAAGATTATTTATAAACACAAGTTAGATTTAAAAAAAAGGATGGGTGTCTTTATTAAAGGTTTATAGTTTTAATCTATTTAATTAAATTGGAATAATTATTATACCCGTACGAACGTATGTTCGAAGGGTATACTAAATTTGCCTTACCGTTTGTAACGCTAAGAAATAACGGTGTTAGATATAGACTCAAGTGTATGTTTTTGATCAGCGTCAAATTCTGAGTTGATTTAGCTTTGTCTGTCCGTCCGTCCGTCCGTCCGTCCGTCCGTCCGTCCGTCCGAACGATAACTCAAAAACTAATTGAGCTAAGTTCACCAAATTTTCACAAATGATTTATTGTAGTAAGTGCCAGAACCCTATTTAAATTGAACATGATCGGGGTACCGGTTCGGGTAGCTGCCATACAACTTCAAAATTTATTTGGCTATATCTCAGAAACTATAAAAGTTATGGTATTGAAATTTCACACAAACGAATATATTAGTAGGGCCAATATGCCCCATAAAAGTCGTTGAAATTACTTGGCTCCTTCTGGTACCTGCCATACAACTTCAAAAGTTATTTGGCTATATCTCAGAAACTATAAAAGCTGTGATATTGAGATTTCACACAAGTGACTATATTAGTAGGGCCGATGTGTCTGGTAAAAGTCGTTGAAATTACTTGGCTCCTTCTGGTACCTGCCATACAACTTCAAAAGTTATTTGACTATATTTCAGAAACTATTAAAGCTATGGTATTGAAATTTCACACAAACGAATATATTAGTAGGGCCAATTTGGCTCATAAAAGTCGTTGAAATTACTTGGCTCCTTCTGGTACCTGCCATACAATTTCAAAAGTTATTTGACCATATCTCAGAAACTATAAAAGCTGTGATATTGAGATTTCACACAAGTGAGTATATTAGTAGGGCCGATGTGCTTGATAAAATTCGCTAAAATTTCTTGGCTCTTTCTGGTAGCTGCCATACAACATCAATAGTAGTTTGGCACAACCAGTATTTTGAATAACACAGTACTGAAATTTTGCATAAATTAATATGATAATACGGCAACTTAAAGTCATGGTCTGCCCCATAGTTAGTTATGGCACATTAGTTATACGCACATAGGATAACAAATTCGTACGGGTATCACAGAGTTGACAAGGTCAACTCTATTTTTTTTCTCGTTTTTTGGAATAAAGTTTGAGGATTTTCTGTGATACATACACCACACTATGATATAAAAATATTTATACAAAAATTAAAATTTTAATCCATACATACTTAAAAAAATTATGTTGTGAGAAAGTTTTGCAGCGAGATTATTATTTAGATTAGCTTATTTTGGCTTTTATGCCTATCGAATTCTAATATTATTTCCGTAAGCGAATAAAGTTGTCATTTGAATTTAAGCTGCTGGATAAAGGGACAAATTTAATTATATGTATTTCAAAATATTTTACAAGAAAATTTTTTGTACAAATCAGACAAAATTTGAAATTTTCAATTGAGTTTTTTGTCATTTTTAATTTTTAAACATAAACAATTTCCATTTTTATTTCAAAAACATTATACATATTGTGGTTGCGTTGTTTTTCAAACAATTATTTCACTCTTACTTTTTGTTTGGTTGTACTTTCGTGCTCAGTAAATGAAACAAGTATTTTCTGTTTTGAATTGGAAATTATTTAATTAGTTTTAAAAATTTAAATATAATTGTTTATCATTTTGTTTAATTCAATTTTTTTTCATTGCTAATGGTAATGATTATTTTTTTTAATCTTATGAAAAAACTATTAATTTTTTCAAACGATGGGGCATCAATACAGTTTTTGATTTTGTTATTATAATAAAAATGCTGTTTAAAAGAGATCATGCCGCGTTAATCAATTGAACCGTATGGTGTTGCTGCAATTTTTGGAGAATAAAACTGTTTGCCTAGATCCTTCCATTCTAACGTTACATTACTTATTAATTGCTGCTCCCGATACAAATCGTAACTGTTTTTGAACTGTTTCTGTTTTCAGTTGTAAAAAATCATAATGCAATCTGCTGAGCTAGTCTCATTAAGCATTGACCTGGCCTTTAAATAAATATCACAGCTTTTGGCAAATATCTAAAACTCATGTGACATTGAGCATTAAGAATATTGAACATTTTCAATACATAAATACGGCACATATCGAGAAATCCATATAAAGAAATATGATACAAAGGTATACATTTCTTTATTTAATAACAAATATGAATATTGCCGAAAATATACCGTCATGTAGCCTGTAATACTATTGTAACTAGTAAGACCTTTCTATACTTCTTAACAAATTCTTTATTAAAAGATATTTGTTTTGTTAGCTTCAAACCAATTTAAACGCGCAAAGTTATTTTGCAACGATTATATAGACATACTTTTATTTTTGGTTATTATATTAAAGTTTGTTAAATATGTTCAGTATTACTGATGACAGGAAGATTCAATCAAAGTTACTTCATTAACAACGTTTGTTTAGCATTAATTGCATGGAAATCTTTTAAACGATAGTACACCTAATTCTCTTTTTACACGATAGAATGGTTCCCTAAAAATTCTCGTAAAAAAATCGTGTAAAAAAAGATACTGGCTAAGTACAAAAATAATAGATTGATTCTAGACCTCAAAAAACAAGTTAAAACTATTACGGATAACAGGATCTTTGCTATTCACGCATTCTGACCAATTCCGCTGTCCCCTAAAACAGAAATTACGCATACATAGACACAACTCATTATAAACAGCAGGCTTATTTTAAGTAGAAAAACATTTTTTTTGGATTCGTGTTATTTCAAACTATGTCGTGTAAAAATAAAAATATTTTTGGTGTTTACACGTGTTATTTCAAATTCGTGTAAAAACAGAATTGGGTGTAATTTATAAATAAAAGTTAACTTATAATTTTAAAATTATTTAATATTTATATATATTACGTATTTTTAATATAACATAGTTGAATCTCTTTTAATCGAACTCTCTAAAATGTGAATATCAATCTTAAATCGAAGTTGTTTCTATTTATTTAAAAATTTTTAAATCTTTGTTTATGTTTTTATCGTTGTTTTTCTCGTTTTCGAAATTTAGATTAGAAATTTAGAGAGTTTGAATTATAGAAGTTCAACTGATTATACAAAAACTAATGTTGGTTGTGGCCTTATAATAATAAAAAAAATATTATGTAGTTTATAAGGTTTATAATTAATTTTATTTATTTGTTATATTTTTTGTATTTATTTTTTAATTTATTAATTTTTTATTTGTTATATTTTTGTATTTATTATTTAAATTTCTTTTCAAATTACGAAAAATATAAAAAAAATATATATACATATATATAATAACGCAATTACTTGTGTGTCATTCAAATTCAAACTAAAAAAAACGTATATAAAATAAAAATTTAATGAAAACTCTTCAACAAAATTGAAAACTAAATAGTGGGAACTTCTTGGTCTGCAAGACAATCTGATTTTGATCAACGTTTAATAATTGATTTAAGAAGCGTCAAAAATATTACATTAATTGCTTTACAAGGCCGTCCGCATAGTAATGAATATGTTACTGAATTTACTATTAGTTATGGTATAACTGATTTAGAATTCGCTGACTATAAAGAGCCTGGAGGAAATATTAAGGTAAGTTAGATTATTTTTTCAAAATCAAAATTATAACATAAATAGCTTCAAGTAAAAGAAAAAGAAAAAATTCTAAATATTCAGATTGATCGTATATCGGGGAAATCCAAAATATACTTTATTTTTATGTTATGTACACCTATATATGTACATACATAGTTTTATATGTACCATTTTTATAATAAGGGCAGAATTTATAGGTTATATAAGCATAAAAATTAAATAGTGCGTCCTTTAATTTAAATAATTTTATAAGATTATGTTTGAATATCTTTTCAAAATAGTATTATGTACTTATTAACATTATTTTTATTTTTTTAATTCTTTACTGATTTCTGCAATTATTTGTAAATCTTTTTGCTTTAGTTGTATTTTTATAGCGCATTTGGATTTTTTAACTTCAAATACGCAATATTGGGAAAATATTCACATAACATGTAAGAGTAGTAACAAAAAACTGTAAATAATTATAATTATATATGCATGATTTAAAAGTAGAAAGTAAATAATTACTGTAAATATAAGTTAATGATAGTTTAACTTTTGTAATTGAAATTTTGAATTAAAAATTAAATTTGCAAAAGAAATACAAAAAAATGTCGTGATCACAAAATAATTTTTTCTATATCTACGTAATGTATACTCGTATCAACTTTTTTAATAAGCACTTACACTTACTAATATTTTTTGAGCTTTATTTGATAACCAAATATTAAAATTAACTCTTTCTTATATTTAGAAAAATCTTATATCATTAATTCTTTATGCATGTAAAATAATTTGTTAAAATTGTATATGTATTACGATCATATTATCAAATTATACGAAACTAAACAATTTTATTTTATTTTTTATTCTATAATTACTTTAGTTTTGTGTTCAATTTAATTGTGCAGAATGTAATATTTTACTTGTAGATGTTATAATTTGCTTTAGTTACATTCTATTCAAACTCAATTTACTAATAAAATTCATTTATTTTATATTAATTTATAAATAAGAAAATCTGTAATTAATTAAACTTTTTATTTTCTTAACTTTTCCTAATCTATAATTTTCCAAAAAACAAAAAAAAAAATCAACATATCTGTAATTAACAAAATTAAAAACTAACAACTATACAACAAAAAAAAATCTTGTAAATTGGTAAAGGTGCAAGTGCATGGACACCTGTAGAAAATACTTACAATCATTTCTTAATTATTGAATTGGGTGCTAAGAAAATGGTAAGAAAAATAGCAACACGTGGTCGTTCAAGTGCACAAGAATATGTTACGGAATATATTATACAATATTCCGATGATGGTGAATTTTGGCGATCTTACGTTAATCAAAATAGTGAATCAGAGGTAATTACGTATTCAAATTATTTTATCAAAATAATAAATTATGAATATGATGTATTCGATATAATAATTAAGTATTCGATATAATAATTGTTGTGACTTATTGTTATTCAAATATTTTTCGGAAGATAGAAAGATATTTGCTAATTTGTTTTTTAGCGCTTTTCCAAAAAAAAATTTGAAAAAAAAAATACTTATTAGTTTCACTCTGTCCGTCCGTCTGTCTGTCCATGGACATGTTTACAAAACTTCTACAAATCTACACCCTTAAAGATAGAAAGCTGATATGTACATAGATCTTTACTAGAAACTTATTTCCGCATAAGATCTCCCTCTACCCCTCAAAAAATTGTAGCCCGCCAAAATGTCATTTTTTAATTACTTATTGCAGTGAAACTTTCGTTGTTCACATTTTTAATATCGTTTTTCTTCAACGCCTCAAGTTATACGAGTCTGAAATTTTGAACATTAATAAATAGTTCATTTCGTTAGAAGAATATTTTTTACTGCAAGCTTTTTCACATTTCTATAAATGCAAAAAACTAACGGTAAACGCCATGTCATTAAAAAATGTAATTATTTGTCTTAACTCTTGCAATTAATCCTAAAATTAAAACATTCATTTAACATTTCTTTAAACGTGTTTTTTTGTTTTCTTTCGAAGATTGCATACATTACTCATATTAAATGTATGCAATCTTTGAAATATGTTCATAAATGAATGAAAATAATTATAATAATGTAATAGCTACATAGATTGTTTTTAAAATAGCTACAACGATTTGTTTTCAGTATTTTTACTTGTTTAAGGGAAAAGTTCTACATTATAAACTATTGGCTAGGCGAAACTTTATTTATTGAGCTTTGGTGTATTATCGAATCGAAATTCATATACCCTGTAACCGCTAGGAATTGAGCAGTTTACTTTTTACGTATTAATAAAAAAGTTCACTCTTGAAAAATATTTACAAAAAAGCCAAATGTATTTAAAAATGTCATTATAGAATCGAATTTTATTTACTTTATTATTATAGATTCCGTAGACATGCAATTTTTAGTTTTGCAACAACTGCTTGATTGTAAATTCATTAGATGCGTTTGTAAGTTAAATTACTGCATTAATGCAAAAATTTCACTCAGTTTGCAAAAAATTAAATAATATTGAATAAACTATAAAAATAAATTAAAGATATAGGCAATCAAATAATTGCAAAACTAAAAATAGCATGTTTGTGAGACCTTAAGCAACAATTTAAAACTCTAAATTTAATTTCAATTAAAAAGTGATTTGCTATAATTTATTTTAAATTTAAAATTTAATTTAAATTCATAATTTAGTAAGGTCAAAATAAGGTTTGAAAATATCTGTGCCTAAATGTTGTATTCAAAACTCACGCTTTAAATATGAGTATAAACCTTATATTGTTGCCGTATCTTGTTTTATATTGATGCACACTATTATTGAAAATTACTTGGATGTCGTTCTTAACGGTAGTACCGTGATAAGTGTATTACGGTATTAGTAATTCAGTTTTGCTTGCAACGAAAATAAAGATTCAATATTAAACTCGTGTTTTAGAATTAGTCATTTAACAAAATTTTTCAGTACCTATACTCTATGTTTTAATGATACTTTCTTATCATTCTTATCGTGATTATGATACTTTATGATCTTTTATGTGTATTATTAACGCGTACATATACTTTTAGTTTGTATTTTAGTTTATACAGTCATTCATTATTCTTTATTTTTGTAACATATTTTACTATAACTCATAAAAGTAATCATATAATCTTAAAAGTAATTATATAGAATGGTTTTTGGTGCTTTTATAAAAAAACGATATACAATGCATTTCTATTATTGCGTTCAAATAATCAAATTAATAATTAATGCAATACACATAATGGTAAAGTTAATTGTAAATAATAACATTATTTTTAAGAGAGTTGTGAAATATAAATAAAATTTATAACATAAAATTTGTTCTTCCTTCAAAATTAATGTTATATTAACATGAATAACGAGTTTGTTATTTATTTTATAGTTTATTTGAGATAATGTTTATTGAAGCCCTTAAGTATAAGTAGCAAAAGGTATTTGGATATTACAATAATATGTTCCAAATACGAAGTTAGGGAAATACATATTAAATTTTTATCTAACAATAGGTTCTTCTGAAAACGCAGTTCTAACTTAGTACTAGATTGCAGTGTGTATGTTTAATAAGAACTGCTTAAACTTTAAAGCAGGACATTTCAGAAATTTCACGCAACTTCGGCTTTTTAATTCTTTAATTGCGATAGCTTAATTATCAAGCAAGATGGGGAATGATTTTTTAAAAATTTTATCTCCATTTCGTCCAACCAGGTTCAAATTTATTATTTTTAAGAAATTTTTTCCGAAAATTCATTATTTTTATTTTAACATTTGGGACAAATAGAATAATGACAATTGCAGAACTGCATTTTTAGAAGATAACTTGCTTAAAGATCTGCAAAAACTTTTTACTCCTAAACGATAAGTGTTAGCAGTTGTCAATCAATGCAAAAAAGTATTTGAATTTGAAATACATATTTGACTTGAAAAAAAAAGCCGAATAAAATTTAAATTGCAAATAAGAGCTGTAATTTTCTAATAATGATGATAATTTTATATATAACAATTCTAATTTCTTATAAGTATAACAATTTTGTGTTTTTGAGATCTTATCTTTAGAATTTTTGAAATATTATTACAATAGTTTAAAGTAACATAACGAAGGGCATACGTAACGCAGCACTAGTAATCGCTGCAATAATATGTACATAAATAAAACTGTAATATTTTGAAAATTTTGTTCATCGATTTCGATCGAGTATAAACGCAGCCGACGAGATCATCTGGTATTCAACATATTAGTGTATTGAATATATTTCAAAGAAAAATAAAATTTTTCCTCTACTCCATTCGTTCTATGTATAACTTCAATAACAAAATCGGGTGCTTTGCATATTATGTAAATTTAAATTAGTGATTGAAAAAAAATGGTGCGGTAGAAAGCAAAAAAATACTAAAAAGAATTCAATATATGTACACTGTTTGAAAAGGTTAAATACATAGTTACTATGTATGTAAGTTGATTAGGATCGAATCTCGAAACATAGGTTTTTTTTTCATTCTTTAATTAAAAAATTGATTGTTTTATAAGAAATTCAATTTACTTCTTCGAAACAAATTGCATAAGCAAAATAAAAACTAATACCTTTGATAGAACGTTTGAAAATTTTTAAAAATTTTATTTCAAACAGTGCTATTAATTAGGATTTTTGATTTTGTTTTTTTTTCATTAATTTACATAAATATTTCTATGTATTATTAACTTAAAGTCTTTATTTTTATGAAAAACAAAAAAAAACAACTGTTTACAATTGGAAATAAAGATGTTCAAAGGCAACTCTGATGGTGATTCAATATATTACAATAATTTTGATGTGCCGATTATTGCTCAATGGATCAGAGTAAACCCTACCAGATGGCATGACCGGATATCAATGCGCGTCGAATTGTATGGTTGTGACTACGGTGAGTGTGTTTTATTTTTACCCCTTGTTAAAACTGTGCCTGTATATATAAAAATGAAAAGGAACAGTTTTAATAAATTAATTAAAAAAGAGAAAAGATGTAAAAAACTGTTTGATAATTTGATATACAACATTCTAGTCGTTTAGAAATCAACAATAAATCGTTAACATTTATATGTATTTAAAACACCTTTCATTTTTTTATTTTGTTTCAGTTGCTGACAATTTTTATTTTAATGGAACTGGCTTAGTTCGTTATGATTTATTACGAGAACCAATTGCATCATCTAGAGAAGCAATAAAATTTCGATTTAAAACATCAATTGCTAATGGAATTATATTATATTCACGTGGTACTCAAGGGGACTATTTTGCTTTACAACTAAAGGAAAATCGTATGATATTAAATATAGATTTGGGTTCAGCTTTAATAACATCGTTATCAGTTGGTAGTCTTTTAGATGACAATGTATGGCATGATGTTGTAGTATCAAGAAATCGGCGTGATATTTTATTCTCAGTTGACCGTGTTGTAGTACAAGGTCGTATCAAAGGGGAGTTTAGCAGACTTAATTTAAATAGAGAGGTAAAATATAGTTTTGTTCATTTATGTCTTGACATTTTGTTCATCTTTTTCTATTGCAATTATTGTTCCATTAAACTTGTGAAAGTTTACGCAATCAGTTTTTAAAAATTAATTAACGAACGTTTAATTCTCCACGTTTTAGATTTAATTCCGTATTTTCTAAGCAGTATCACATGGTATGATAGAATAATATTGAATAATATTGAGATTTGAGTACAGACTCATATTTCAACGATTTTATTTTGAAAACTGCAATGGTTTTGTATACTTAAATACGAGTTAATTCTTAAATACGAGTTAGTTTCTTATTTCAATCAGGAAAAATAAAAATCTATGTCCAAAATTTTATTTTACTTTCCATGTTTTCTATGACTACATTTTTGTATTTTATTCTACGAGTATGTATTTTTTTGTTCAAAATTATTGAAACGCAGTAAATGAAAAATAGTACGTACTGATTGTAAATAACCGCAGTTATTTGATTTGTTGTTGTTAAAAATTAAAAATGGAACATAAAACATACTAATGTGTAATGTTAAATTAAATTTTTGTAAAGTTTATTTAAATACATTTTCTATTTTAGATTTATATTGGCGGGGTTCCAAATATTCAAGAGGGCATTGTTGTTAATCAAAATTTCACGGGTTGTATTGAAAATTTATTCTTCAATTCAACAAATTTTATACGAGAAATGAAAGAAGCTTTAGAAAATGATGTATATGATACGGCTTACAAATACACCAAACATAATGTAATTTATGCTTGTCCATCTCCACAAGTATATCCTGTGACTTTCACTACAAGAACCTCCTATGCCAAACTAAAAGGTTATGAAGCACAAAAAACTATGAATGTTTCTTTTCATTTTCGTACCTATGAAGACAAAGGAATAATGATGTTCCATGAATTTGCCTCTGGCGGTTATATAAAATTATTTTTAGACGAAGGGAAAGTCAAAATTGATATGCAAATTGGTGATCAACCACGTATTATATTAGATAACTATGATGAAGAATTTAATGATGGAAAATGGCACACTCTAGTATTAACATTACAAAGAAATCAATTAATTTTGGATATCGATCGTCGCCCAATGACTACTACAAAAAATATTAAGTTTTCAACTAGCAGAATTTATTATATTGCTGGAAGTGTTGTAAATGACATTCCAGATAAAAATGGTTTTGTGGGGTGCATGCAAATGATACAAGTTGATGGAAGTTACAAATTACCAAAAGATTGGAAAAATGGTGAAGATGTATGTTGTGGAGATGAAGTAGTAGTGGACGCTTGTCAAATGATTGATCGTTGCAATCCAAATCCATGCCAACACAATGGAATTTGTCATCAAAATTCAATGGAATTTATTTGCGATTGCAAGAATACAGGCTATGCGGGAGCAGTTTGCCACACTTGTAATAATTTTTATTATGATTAAATAACATTTTTATTTAAAACTTAAAATTTTTCAGCTAAAAATCCATTATCGTGCCAGGCATACAAAAATGTACAAGCAGTTCAACAGAGGGTCAATATTGATATTGATGTTGACGGAAGCGGCCCATTAAAACCATTCCCTGTGACATGTGAATTTTATAGTACGTTTTAAAAATAAATTTTGTTCATTTTTTTAAATAAATAATTAATTTTGACTTTTAGCTGATGGTCGCGTGATTACAACAGTCGGTCACAGTCAAGACCATACAACTACAGTAGATGGTTTTCAAGAACCAGGTTTATTCGAGCAAAGTATTATATATGATGCTGATTTAAATCAAATTGAAGCATTATTAAATCGATCGTATAACTGTTGGCAACGATTAACTTACGCATGTCGCTCTTCAAGATTATTTAATTCACCATGTATTTTTAACTGTTAATTTATATATAAAATATATAATTCCTAATATTTTTATTTTTTTTAGCCGACGCACAAACTTTTCGTCCTTTCTCTTGGTGGGTCTCAAGGCAAAATCAGCCAATGGATTATTGGGCGGGCGCTTTACCAGGCTCTAGAAAATGCGAATGCGGTGTTGTTGGAAAATGTAGGGATCCTACAAAATGGTGCAATTGTGACGCGAATATTTTGGATTGGCTTGAAGATGGCGGTGATATAAAAGAAAAAGAATATTTGCCGGTAAAAGCTGTAAGATTTGGTGATACTGGAACACCACTTGATGAAAAAGAAGGCAGATATACTTTGGGTCCTTTGCGCTGTGAAGGAGACGATTTGTTTAGTAACGTTGTTACTTTCCGAATTGCTGATGCTACCATAGACTTACCAAGATTTGATATGGGACATTCAGGAGATATTTATCTAGAATTCAAAACAACAACCGAAAATGCCGTTATTTTTCACGCAACGGTGAGTTAAATTTTTATACTATTTTAGTATAAAAAATTTTAAAATTTTAGTAAAAATAAATGCTAATTTGTTTTTATCAAATGTTATTCGCAGGGTCCAACTGATAACATTAAATTAAGTATTATTGGTGGTACTAAACTTCAATTTCAGTACCAAGCTGGAAGTGGTCCTTTAGGTGTCAACGTTGAAACTAGTTATAAACTAAATGATAATAACTGGCATACTGTCAGTGTGGAAAGGAATAGGTGGAATGAGAATTCTTTGAAAAAACAAATTTTAATTTGATTTCTTTGTGTAAACAGAAAAGAAGCTAGACTGGTTGTAGATGGTTCGTTGAAAGCAGAAGTTCGAGAGCCCCCAGGTCCAGTGCGAGCTTTGTATTTGACATCAAAACTTATTGTCGGTGCGTCCACAGACTATCGCGATGGGTATGTGGGATGTATTAGAGCCTTATTACTTAACGGAAAAATGGTGGACTTAAAATCGTATGCCAGTTCTGGACTTTATGGAGTTAATACTGGATGTGTTGGTCGATGTGAATCCAGTCCTTGCCTTAATAATGGCACATGCTATGAAAAGTATGACGGATATTCATGTGATTGTCGTTGGAGTGCTTTTAAAGGACCGATATGTGCTGATGGTAATATTATTTACATTTAATTTTTTATCTTTGTTTTCCAGAAATTGTATTTATCTATTACTTTGTATCTATTTCCAGAAATTGGTGTAAATTTAAGGTCAAATTCAATAATTAGATACGATTTTGAAGGTTCATTCCGTTCAACAATAACAGAAAATATTCGTGTTGGTTTTACAACAACAAATCAAAAAGGATTTTTGTTAGGTTTTTCGTCAAATATTACTGGAGAATATTTAACAATTTTAGTGTCAAATTCTGGTAAAAAAACAATATTATGAATGTTTTTAAAATTTTAAATAATTTTAATAATTCAGGTCATTTGAGAGTAGTATTTGATTTTGGATTTGAACGTCAAGAATTAATTTATCCAAAAAAACATTTTGGGTTAGGTCAATTCCATGACGTAAGGTTTTCGAGAAAAAATAGTGGATCCACAGTAGTTTTACAAGTTGATAATTATGAACCGTTTGAGTACCATTTCGATATTAAAGCGTCTGCGGATGCTCAGTTTAATAATATTCAATATATGTATATTGGTAAAAATGAGAGCATGACTGATGGATTCGTTGGATGTGTTTCTAGGGTTCAATTTGATGATATATATCCTTTAAAACTTTTATTCCAGCAAAATCCACCATCCAATGTTAGATCACTTGGAGGTAAGTTTTTGCTATAATTTTTTATAAATGATTAATACATTATTTTTAAATACTAAATATTATTCAGGAACTTTAACTGAAGACTTTTGCGGTGTTGAACCCGTGACTCATCCTCCAATAGAGATTGAAACTAGACCGCCACCTTTAGTAGATGAAGAGAAACTTAGAAAAGCATATAGTGAAGTTGATTCAGCTTTGTTAGGAGGTTTGTGTAATATTTTGAACCATATTTAAAATTTATTTATTTTTACTCAATTCTCGATTTATTGAATTTTAAGTGTGCAGTATTTATCTAATTTAAGTAATAGTCAGGTTATGTATCTAATGTAAATGTATATTCGATACTTACATACATATGTATGTGCGTAATTAAATTGAAAAATTTAAACTTACGTATATCTAAACAAAAATTTAATTCGATTCATAAATATAAATATGAAAGTAATTTAAATTTAATAATTTAAATGACCATACAAAGATTATGAAAGAAAAAAACAAAAGAAGATTACAACAGAAAAGAACAAGAGTTCCCCACTTAGAGCAACTCAATAGGATTTGTTAATTCATCAGCATTAAATTAGCTATATTCTATTTATTAGCTTGTTTCTTTGATTTGTTCTGCGAAGCTGTGTTAAAATTATTTTTTTAACTTAAATTTATTATTTTAATTATTCTGTTGTTATTTGTAATTGACTATTTTTATTTCAAGAAAATTTATTTCTTTATTTAAAATTCAAGAAAATAGATTAATAATAATTAAGTATATTTTAGTATATAGAAATATTATGTAACTTTTTCAAAAAAAAAAAAAACAATTTGCAGTTATAAATACCAATGTTGACAAGGCATTTACAAATCCAGAATACTGCCACTTTTTGAAAAATTTAAAAAAAATACGATAATATTTATAGATTTTTTTGAATGAAATATTAGTTTCTAGGTCTTATCTATCAGACTACCATGGTGAAATTATTTTCCGAAGTATTCCGAAGCAACAATATTCACAAAAACGCTTAATGTTTTATTTTCCTAAGTTTAAATATTCAAAAATATTTTCATAAAAAGTATTCTTATTTTTAGTTATATAAAAATATTTCAATTATTTTTTTTACTTCTCCTAATTTCTCCTAATGTTTTTCCTCACTATATTTTCTACTGAAATTATTTTTTAGTTTGAAAAAGACTATTAAAGATGTAGGTCCTTTTCGTTTGCTTAATATTTTGTTTTTATTTTCGTGTATTATAGTAGAAATGAATACTTAAAGACATTTATTGCTCCTTTTTAGGCTTTTCTATCTAAAATCTTAAAAAAATTTTTTTGTATAATTATAGCTGATCTTTAATAGTTAAAAATTTTATTTATTGGTTAAATGATATTAGTTATATGTATATACACAAATGTGACCAATAGCAGCACATTATTATTTCTATACTATGATTTTCTTTAAACTTGGAGTAATTTTTCAGCACATAAATAAAATTTTAACATTGTTTTAGAAATTTAGACATACTATGATTTTCGAACGTACTTTTTTTTTTATTAAACATCCAATTTGAGCGTAATTTTTTTTTATTAAACATCTGATTAATTCAATTACACAATATTTTCTTGGATATAAAATAAACATGTTTTGAGTAAAGTTTTGTAATAAAAGGAAAATCTGCTTGGAGTTTGGTGAATTTACCCTATGAAATTTTTTGATTTTTCTTTCATAATTTAACTTGTTACCCTTTTAAATGCCAATGAGAGAGGTCTGTATCGATTGTACTTCTATAAATTTTAGAAAAACTCTAAAATTTATTTATACAAAAATATTTTTTAGGTGTTTTTAGATGTAAATGATTTAAAACGTAATTTTTTTAAAATCATAAAAGGAATATGATGGTTGCCTTCTACTTCAGTAGACTTTTACTCTTCCTAATTAAAAAAATTTATTGAATATTTATGTACATATTTTTTAATTTTTAAATTAGAAATTTTTCTTTGAAATTCAGTACACATAGATTAAATATGTATGTATGTATATGACATTACAGATAATTTAACAGAATATCAAAAGAATTGCAGTTATATAATAATTGTAATTTAATATAAAAAATTATATAATAAAAAATTGCATAATAATGCTATTATTAAGACAAGTAAATCACAATTTAACAAATTTTAGTTTTAATTACGTGTAAATCAGACTTTCTCAAAAGAATGTTAACACATACATATTTTCTCTCATTAATATTCAAGTGTTTTCGAAATACACATTTAAATTTGCGAACAATTTTTGTCAATTTTTATATTTATTAGCAATGTTGAATTAAAAATTTTATAATATGAACAATTTAATATACTTTAAATTGTCATATATATACGTTACAACATATATTAGACATACATTAAATTGTTATGTATATGTACATACATGTGCTACATATTTATGTTAAGTTTGAACAAAAAATTTGTTTATGCTTAAGTAATTACCAACAAAAAAAACATATACTTTCTTCAAAAAAAAAAACAATAATAATATGTTCTTTATATATGGTCAATGATGTGTGCTCTATTGCTTTTAATTTCATCTGTTTTCACTTTTTACCTATTTAAATTAGTACTTTTTGTGTTAATAAAGTTCATTACTGTTCATTAGTGCAATATACACTTCGGAATTATTTTGTTGGATTAATTAAAAATTAGTAAAAAAATGATTGCTGCAATAGAGTCCTGCTCGTATTAAAATTTTTTAAAATTTTCATATTTTTGGTATTGTATATGACCTTGTATTTTTTGTATTTTGTATAAGTGCTTTTTTATCATTCCTTACCAGAGTAAAATTGGCTTTTATTTTGTGTAAATAAATAATGCAAACTAATTAAGTAAATAAATTACTCGTACGCATAAGATATACATTTTGTGTTCTTATTGTTAGGGTAACCGAATTTTCATTAACTTGTCAAAATTTTTATAATAAAATTGAATAATTTTCTTCCAAGTTTAAAATACATATGTATGTATGCTATCGTATGTTATTCAAATAATATTTTCCATCTTTCCTCACCTATCGTCCTAAAACTGAAATAACAAAATGCAGTGGGTTTTGTAAGCATTGGTTTCATGAAATCTACTTGGGTTAATAGAGCTTTTGGCATTCCTCAAAAGTATATAAATTTTAATGTCCATCATATATCTTACCCAATCGCCTTGATGATAATAAAGCTAAAAATTCAGAACTATGTATGGCTACTAGACTTAATTTTAATAACTTTATTTTAATTTATATTTTTTTTAATTTCCATTTGGAAATTGATTTATTTTTCCTTTTCTATTTCAGGACTTTTGGCTTTACTTTTCCTACTATTGATCATAATGGCAGTTTTAATAAGTCAATATATAGCTAGACATAAAGGTGAATATTTAACGCAAGAAGATAAAGGAGCTGATGGTGCGGATGACCCAGATGAAGCTGTTGTACATTCTACAAGGGGGCATCAAGTAAATAAAAAGCGTGAATGGTTTATATAAATATTTAGTTTTCCAAAAATTTTAGTCTTATTTTTTTTTAATACAAAAAAAAAGAAAATTGAATTTTAAAACTGTTTTGAAAGTTTAATAGAATTAAGTGTTGTGAACGAATACATCTAATATTTTCATCTCATAATTTTGGTTTTAAGATGACATTGAGTATCAAATTAATTATCGAATAATTAAAAAAAAATTTTGCGATATAACAACTTTTAGCCCTTTGACAATTATTAGTTTTTAATATTAAATTATTTATGAAAACGGTCAATATGTAGCAACATATATCCTGAAGAAATTAACGAATGAAATTCGTTACAAATATACAACTTAAACATCTCTTTATACATAGAAATTTTTATTTTCGGAGAATATGTTTTTTTTATTTCGCTTAATTTATTTGTACAATTTTGAAATTAATTAGCCGTCCATTTTAGTTATTAGTTTTATTTAGTTTTAAGTTAGTTTTTTTGTTTTTTTTTTTTTTATTTTTAATTTTTAATTTTTTATATTACTTATGTCCATTTTCTTTAATATTTTTAAATTTTTGTTTTTGCTTGAATTTTTCAAATTTTCTTTTACATATGTATTACATTTCTATGTAACGTACATCTGTACATTTGAATACCCATTTTTATTGACCTTATATTAATTATAGTTTTGTGAATAAGATAATTAATATGTAAAATATTATTGCGTCTCAATTTTACCAAAATTTAGAATAGGAATGTTTAAATGAATAGAAGAGAGGATATACAAAATAATGTAAGTATATTTCCACAAAATGCATACTTAAATACAACGATATTTTTTTAATTCGTTCTTTAATAATTTTGCGATATTAAACGTTCAAGACTGATCATCTGTTTTTTCTTTGCAATCATAAACTTCTTGTCTTAAGTTAATGCAAAATTATATAAAGAATGTAAATATTATTATGAAATATTTTCAAAATTAAAAATAGTAGCAATTTTGTGTAGAAATATCTATTATGCTTTAGAGTATTGTTTTTATTTTTACATTCCATTACTTATAATGATTTATGAGTTCATAAGTTAAGAATTAGATATTTAGTCCAATAAATCTTAATTTTGTTGTTTATATTAATAGGTTTTTTCATATAGAATAAGGAACGTTAAATTTAACAAATACATATAAAGATATATGCGAAAAATAATTTTTTTTTTTAAAGTTTTGACAATTTTGATAATTTTAGTCTCAGAAAAATCAATAAGTTTGTGTTTGAGTTTTAATTGTGTGGGCGCTGTTCAAGTATATATAATTTTATGTGTAACTTGTAAAAATATTTCATGGTCTTCCGATATTGAAAAGTTAAGTTAAATGATTTAAAAAACGATTTTATTTAATTAAAACAAAAACCCTATTGATGGAAGATTTTATTTATTTTTTCTTAATAATCGTACTTGAAAATATTATAAAAATTATAACAAAAAAAATATTAGAAACTAATTTCAAGAGGCCTTGTACAATTAAAGAATGTTTTTAAAATTGATTAAAAGTTTAACATAATCATAATTAACATAATTAGGTCAATTGAATAAAGTATTAATTATGACCATAAATGTTGTTGATGAACTGATTTCTGGAGATTAAAAATGATAATGGATTCAAAATTGTCTGACCTGACCATATAAGGAAGAAAATTTTTTAAACAATGCTTTACTAAAAAAAAATCTTAATTTTTTAAGTATGAATATAAACGAAATAGCAGTTTTAATTTTTAAAAAATATAAAAACATTATAATTTTTCGTTTTTGTACAAAAATATTGTGAATTAAAATAAATTTTTATGAAAAAAATTCGAGTTTTTCATTTTTTGATAATAATTTTAACTTTTAATGTAACTTTTTTAAATTGTACTTTTAAAAAAGTGTTTGCTATTGGAAACTTATTTATATAATTGTAAAACTTAGACAATTTAATTAACCCTTCACCATACTTTTTTAAAGATAGCGAATTAACACAAATTGGGACAATTTTAAACTCGTTTAAATTTGAGATTTAGTAAACATATGCGCATTAAGTTTGAAAAACTGGTAATTTTTCATAAGGAATTTTCGGTGAAACAAAAGATAATTAATTTCTGATTGATTTGTCATTTTTTCCAATCACTTTAAATAAATTATGGAATTGCATTATTAGCAAAATTTATATCAGTGATTTTATTTTTGCGCAAATATACATATATACATATATAATTTATACAATAAACGTCTATCAAAATGCAAGGTTTTTAAAACACCAAAGAAGGTATTTTTAAAGCAAAGCAACATAAAACTTTCATTTTTTTGGTAAAACACAATTTTAGTTCTTTACACTGAGCGCATCAAAACTTTATCGAGTTGACTTGGTTTTGATTTTGATTTGACTTTAAAATTTTGGTAAATAGTCCTAAAAAATTGTATATTCGGCAAATTTTACCGAAATTAGAAGAAGTCAAGTTGACATAAAGTCTTACTTTTGGTAGACGCCCATTGTTATTGGTTTTTTAATGTTTTTTAGCAATATTATAAAAAACAAAAGATTTTTAAGTACATGTTTAAGCAGAACTCTCTTGAAAATAGGATTGTATGTACATATGTTGTAAATATAATATAATATAATCATATAATAAAAATATAATTTAAATATAAATATAAATATACATACATATGTAAATATTCTATTTTCTATATTCTAAAATTTCTATTTTCTATATTCTAGTTGCTTTGGTAAGAAAACATTATTACTTGGAAATTTATTATTATCTATTTGATGGCCATACAACGCACGTTCCTAAATTTGTTATAATGGTGTTATGCATTTAAAAAAAAAATTCTTATTTTTCAATTAATTTTCTTAATAGTTTTAATACATTATACAAGCAATTTTGAAATAGTTACTAAACTATTAAACTTGTAACCAAAAACAAATTGATTGAATTACGAAATTTCGTATTATTTTCAGGAAAACCTTACTATATGATATACGAAAGTTTTCTCACTGAGTGAGCAAAAAAAAGACATCGAATAATACCCTACAGAATTTGTGTATTTTGTATGGAATATGAATGTTTAACATTTTAAAATGCCACGTACAACGTATTAATGTACATATATGGAATGTGTATAAAACATTTTAACTGCATTCAACAAATAACTCTATGTGACAATCATCAGCAAATGAATCATTTTGTTTTTATATTATCACTATTTCAGCCACTTTGAGCTTTGTTGGTAAATGAATATGAAGTTTATCAATAAACCTCAATGTAGCTGAAGTAGTAGCAAGTATAGATAAAGTATCAAATTTTCCAAAAGAAGAAATGCTTTAAGGGAGTTAAAGCAGGAAAAAGTAGTTCCCACTGATGTTAAATTTATACATTAAAATTAAATATGGCAAATTAAAAAAAAAACAGTTTTTCAAAATTCTTATATACATACGTAAATTTATTTGATTCGCTGATTATAAAATTATTTTTTACATATTATATACATACGTAATATGTTTTATCATAAAGACATCTGTATGTACATAAATGTATGTATGAGTGTATATTTATTATACTAAATAAATATGTATAATATTTAACAATTTAACTATTAAAACTATTATTATTATCATGCTATAATTATTTCGATTTTGTAAATTTTATTAAGAATAAATAAAAAATGTTTGTTTTATATTTTCGAATAAAAATTGTTAATGAAACATATTATTAATACGATTTTTGACAACAATTTCGCTGAAAAAGAAAACAAAATCGTAAAGGATTCATATAAATTATCTTTTCCCACTTTTTTGCAATGCCAATGTTCAAAAACTGATAATTTTTAGTTAATCATAAAGTATTATACGAAAATAAATATTATTTTTAGAGTTCTTTTAATTAATGAATTATTTATTAATTGTTAATTTATTAATGTTTCCAGTTTTCTTTTCTAGGAAGGTTTATACGTAGATACTATTTAATATACGGTAATCAAATTAATTTTTCGGTTAATTCAATTAAAATTTTTCTCGAGGATGTAAAAAAAAATGAAAATTACTGCACTATGGAAACCCTGAATAAGAAAAGTATAAATTTTCGTAAATAAAAAGTATATTGCAATTAGCTGTTTATAGAAACAAAGGTTTGATGTGCAATCGACATCAGTCACTGAATTGGAGTACCAACCAGCATTAAACTAGAAAACAAATCTTGTAAGAGCAAAATAAAATTTTGAATTGAAGAAGCAAATATGTCGAATTGGAATCTAAAAATTTCAAGGCGTGGTTATGCCATCCGAATTTCTTCAAAAGCTTCCGGGAGCAAGCAGAAGTCAAATATTAGAAATTGGTCAGAATTTCTTGCTTGGTTAGAAATATTGATAATTACTACTTTATGCTACACAAGTCTACAGAAATTCTCGCTTAAACTCGTTTTTTTTAGTGAAAGTTTATTAATTTAAGAGAAAATATAATAATGAGAAAAACCAGTAATCCGATTTTCGTAAAGTAATTTTTGTATTTGCAGGAATGCAAAAGTCTATGTATACTAAAGTACTTTAAAAATCGATTGGCACTACCTTATCATTTTTCCAAATACTAAAATTGTTTCACAAAAATCGAATTACATAGTAAAACACACACATACCCATGGTGAACATCTAGTTTTCATATACGTATAAGAAAAATTAAAGGAAAAATAGGAAGAAAATTTCTGCAAAATTTAAGTTTTTCAAGATTTAAAACAGATTTAAGTTTTTGCTATATTAATATTCAAAACTTAGATTTTTGTTATGTAAAGTATAGAGAATTGTTAATAAAAAAATAATTAACAATAGTTCTTATTTGTACATGAAAGCAATATTAGCATATATGTATGTATCTAAAATTTCAAGTACGTATGTACATATGTATATGTATACATATGTATATTACATCTATGTTTAAACAAATATAATATGTTTTTTATATTTTTAAGCTATGCATACTATGTATTTGGACATCAGTATGGATTACATGACAATGATAATTATCTATGTATGTGTATATGTATCTGTATAATATTAAATATTTTCAAATGGTATGGAAGATTTAAATTTCTCAGTTCTTGTTCATTATATTTCTTACTATGAACCCGTTTATTTATATAATATGTATATTGTTTAATTATTTATTATAGTTTTAAATTAGAAAAAGAATTCTTACATAAAATTTATCTAAAGTACATATTATAAATAAACAAAAAATGTATTTTCCTTTTTAAATTCGGGTGGATATGTTTGTAAGTACGTTGGGATTTTCAATTTATATTTTTTTCTATGAATTATTTCATTGTTATTTTTTTAATTTTTACTTACATATATGTACATATGTATATATTTTACAAGATATGTATCTTAACCTTATTATTAATTCATTTTATTCTGTAACAAGAAATAACATTTATAATAATGATTATCTAGTTGTTTACAATATTTATAGTATTAACATATTTATTGTTCAATTTTTGTAACATTTAAGTTTTGCTAAGTGTAATCGATAATGTCGAATTCCGGTCGACAACAATTGCATCTGAAAACGATCACCAACCGGCAACCAACAAAATATGCTTAAAAGATTTTTGTATATCAATTTTTGTATTCAAACCGATTGCCAAGTGCTTTAGCAAAAAATTATTTTTTATAATTTAGATTGGATATCTTTTTTTTATTGAATGCCATTTTATTAAATAAAATTAATTTATCCTCTTCGAAAATTTCCATTTCTCACAAAAAACAAAATCGGCAGCTGAAATTTTTTTATTCCAAAATTGCGAAAAAATTTTAGCTACGATAGGCAATTGACATTATTAATTACACATTTGTTTTTTGTGTTATTGATTGCTATATACGTTGTACTATAAATATAAGTTATATACAAACTGCAAATGCATTGTAATTTTTAATTTTGTCAATTACAAAAGCATTGTTATTCTAAATGTTGTCAGGCATCTGTTGACAACATTAAAAATTACAATCCTTTTGTTAACTGCAATATCGATTAAGATGCAAAAGAATTCAAAGCGCATTTTACGTTATCGATTACACATTTTACATTTTCAGAATTTAAATTTTTTCCCTTTTTTTTATAATTTTAATAATACTTTTTTTGCTTTTTTAACTTTTGTGTTGTTGATTTTATAGAAATTTTTTAATGCTCATTTCTTTGTTTAATATTATTAATATTAAGATAATATTAAAATTTCATATAATAACAAATATATTATATGGAAACATAAAAACTCTTATTTATTGTGACTTATGAGTACTGTATACATATAACAAATAGAACAAGTGTCAATTATCTCGAGTTCCATTTATGTATGTACATATGTATATACGCTCAGCTCACAATTGAAAACGAGTGGAGGAAAATATTAATTACAATTTTTTTGAAAATGGGTTTTATTTTATTAAAAACCATTCGCTTTAAAAGATAACTTGTCTATCAAAAGCATTATGTCATGCTTTTGAATTATTTTATTATATCTTCCAGAAATTCTGCATATAATTATCCAAGAAAGTGGTTATAATCAGCAAGTAATGAAAAATTTGATTCAACGCACCGTCGTTGCAAAGTTGCTGATGCTATACTGATGTGATGTGTTTACCTTGCTGATGCAACATATTTTGACATTTTTGAACACTTTCCGCCTCATGTTTTTGGCGCTTATTTTAAAATTTTTTTTTTTTTAAGTATTAAAATTATCAACAATTAAAAACCTACAATGTATTTAAATTTTAAATAATAAATTATTTACATCTTAGCTTTCACTTTAAAAACTTTGAATCAATAGAAAATCACAAAAAAAAAGTTGATTCACAGCTGATTTAATACGATACGCATCGCATTTAGATATTGTTCGACATCATGTGACATTCAAATATTCTTCTCAGTAAAAAAAATTTTCTAAAAAGAAAACAAAAATTTTGACATTGATAAGCTGTATCTCGAAAACTATGGCTCAAATTAAAATAGTTAGTAAGGCCAAAACTAAAAAACATTTAATCGTATGTGAAACAAGCACATAATGAAAACTCTATGTTGTATGGTCCATCCTAATGATAACTCTATGTTTTACGGTTCCGAATTACAAAAATTTATTTATATGCAGGAAAAGTCTGGTACGTTTTTTTTCAACAGGCAGTAGCTCGAAAATGAGTACATGTGCACCCATACAATTTTTTGCTGGAAATTGATCAAAGAATCATCCCTGAAATTATTTGCTACCTTATGCGAAACACCCTGTATAAAGCGATGTATTTGTATATAAAATTAAATAGAATTTTTATATTATGAAAATTATGAGCTATGCATATATAATATATATATGTACATACATTTGTGCATTGGAAAATGCTCATGAGTGTATTTCTATGTATGATTCTCACTTTATGTCATTACATAATCTAACTATTGTATATTTTTATGTGTTATAGCCTATTATTATACTTAATTTATTGAGTAAATATGTCACGTTAATTTAAATAATAGTCTTATAATATAATAGTGCTCAATTCTCAGCATTATATGTTAAATTTGTTTTGCAAAATTAATTAAATTCATCGATGATTCAAAATTTATAAATGTTTTTGACTTTATAAAAATGACAGCACCGTAAGTAAAATTAATACACAAAATATCATTATTGCAATTTCCCTAAAAATACATATTAATTAAAATATATATGTTTAATATTGTAAGAAAATTTATAAAAATGGTGTAAAATTGATTTTTAATTTCCAATCTAAAATAAGTTTAAAGGTGATTTCTTTAACCTTATAATTAGCCTGCAATGTAGAATACTCGTATATACGAAAAGAAATAAAAAAATTAATAAAATTTTAAATTAAAAGAAAACGTTTTTACTAACTAAAAATATCTAAAACATAAGCATTTTTTAACATTTTCCACATTTGAATAGCACAATTTAGTTGTTTGTGTCAAAAATGTAGAACTAACAAACTAGAAATGAATACCGAATTCGATCGGTAAGTTATAGTTACTGTTTAAGGTAGCAATCTTCAATTGTAAATATTAGATTGTCTAGTAAGATAACATTCAGATTTTATAAATAATTTGAACGAAAATTTTTTTTTCATATGAAATCACTTTTAAAAATACCTCAGATTGGAAGTTGCTTTATAAAAATTTGTACGTAGTTTAATTTTATTTTTATCATATTTACCTTTGCAATTTTCGATCTCTATAAAATGGTCTTACTGTGAATGCCTCCTTTCTTGTTTGTCTAAATAACCAAACAGGAATACATAAATGCATGACGTCTGGTGTCATTAAGGAGACATCACGAATTACTTGATGGCTATAACCTTCACCTAATATCACATTATGAATAAACTGATCAACGCTGCCAGCAGCTATATGCAAAATAGATATTCCAACAATACATAGTATTGCTCTCGGAGATAATGGGGTGTCTTTGTTAACTAAATATATTACTGTTGCCGTACTTATTAATTCAGTTATCTGAAATAATTATATTTATCTATTTATTTTATATATTTATACCATAAAATATATGCAAGAAATAATTGGTAACTTTTTAAAATATAAGATGTTCATGCAAAATTTCTACTGTTACAGCATTTTTCTATTATTCTGCAATATTTTTGTGTGCTAATTCAGGTTGCTAAAACAATGAACTAGCATTGTTTTTAAATATCATGATAGGTTTAAGGTATATCAGGACTAAGAAATTAAATTTTCACAATAGGGGTCGGTTTGAAAGTTGCGACCATATACAAATTTAGTTCCATTTAGTTCTGTCGCCAAATTAAAATTAACAGATAATACACAGTGAGTAACACCAAAGACCCATATATTTATGTATATAATTATTTAAGTATATATTTAAGTATAAATATATGGGTCTTTCGCAGCACACAATGCGGTTAGTTATGTGCAGTCTGTATTAAATTTTTTAATTTAAAACATTTGCAACAAATTTAGAAAAAAATATGCTTTAGAGATCTTGCTGAGAAATATTGAGCATTTTACTTGAAAGAAAATTTTTCCTACCTCCCCAAATTAAAGAGTCCTCCAAAATGCTATATGTATATAGTGATCGTATTTCGTATCGAAACCACAAATATTTCACGAAACTTGTATGGAAACATCAAATTGCACAAAATATAGCGAAAATAATCGTCTTGTTTTTTTTCCCCACATTTTGCTTTTAAAAGTGAACTCCTAGAATTGTAAAGTTTTATTTTTTTTTTCATTTCTGGTGAGAAATAGACTATTGCATATAATATTATAGAGAGCCATGCCTTATTTTTGTACGTCATTGATACTTTTTAACTAGGTAGGTGACTAGTTTGTCGTAATAGATATTATAGATATTATATTTATAGATACTTTATTTTGTTTGAATCACAATTTTTTAAAAGCAAAAATCTAATTAGCCGCCAAAATTTTTATGGGTTTCCGAAAGTTAGGCATAATGAGTTATTGCATAGTGTAGTTTTGATATTATATTATGCAATAACTCATTATGGTTAAATTATAAGAATAATTTAAGAATATAAAAGTTTTTTCCAAAAAGAATTTTCATTCTGCCAGTCATCGGTTTGATTCGAATTCTTGATTTATGTTTTAATGATGGTAACTAAATTTTTAAGAGTTTTTAAATGAATATTTTTTCACAGAAATAAATTTATTTTTCTCAAAATGTACAAGTTAGAAAGTTATTTGTTATTTGTCATTTTTATATGAAATCAATATTCTTAAATCGATTTGCATAATTATTATCACGAAATTCATAAAATTGTTTCTGTGCAGTAAAAATTATCTATAAATCTAATTTTACAAATTCATTTTTAGCACTTTTAAAAATATTTTTTGAAAAAAAGTGCTTATTAGTTTCACTCTGTCCGTCCGCCCGTCTGTGGATACCTTTTTTGTTTACAAAACTTCTACACCCTTGAAGATAAAAAGCTGAAATTTAATACGTACATAGATCATCACTAGAAACTTATTTCCGTAGAACAAAATTTTCACTTATCTCCCCCCCCTCTAGAAGTTATACTCCCCCAAAATCCTAAAATTGGCCTTTTTTAACTATTTGTTGCAATGAAACCATAAGCGTTTTTGAAATTTTGCAAACGCAGAAAGGCAGTGGTTTGCTTCTCCTAGCCCTAAATATACCGTTATCTAAAGTCCTTTTTTCCCAAATTTTTGATGTTGTTTTTCTTCTAGACTCCAGCCTGTAGAAGGTTGAAATTGTAGAGGCTTTTAGAAATTAACAAACAGTTCATTTCGTTAGAAGAAAATTTTTTTCCATTTCCACCCCCTCTCAAGTTATCGCCTCTTGAAATTTGTAAAATTTGAATTTTTGACACCTTATATTTCCGAAACTGCAAGCTTTTTCAAATTTCTATAAACGCAAAAAGCTAACGGTAAATTCCATGACATTAAAAAATATAATTATTTTTCTCAACTCACGCAATTAACCCTTAAAATTGAGCATTATGTTAACCCCACTTTATATTAATTTTTGCTTTATTTGAAATACTGCATAAATCGTTCATCCTAAATATATGCAATCCTAGAAATAGTTTTGTATATGAATGAAAATAATTTTAATAGTGTGATAGGTATACTAGACTGTGTTGAAAAGCAGTATTTTCACGAATTGTTGAAGGGAAAAGTGCTACAATACAAACCATTGGTTTGACCCAACTTTATTATATATTTTATTAAGTACTATTTTTTTCATTGTGTATTTATTGAAAAATTGTTTTCTCGGGAGATATTACATACATAATACATATTACATAAATACATATATTAGTAACACATGCCGCTAGTTTGCTGCAACAATGGCATAACTTAAAATTTGCGTATTTGAGAAAAAACGCAATCCTAAACTTTTAAAAATTGGATATTTTATCATTCTAATATTGTTTTATATTTTATTGTAAGAAAAGATTTTAAAGATAGAAATTTGCCTTCGTACAAAAATGATATATTTAAAATGCTTATTTGTGCATATAATTAACTCAGAAATCGTATTTTTTGAGTTATAGTATTTACAAATCAATATAAAAATAAAAATATGTTGTTAAGTTATTTTTTATTATTACTTTTATATCTAATAATTTGGCATAATAGTTCAACTTAAACAAAATAAAATTTTGAAGAATTTCTTATTTTATTTCATATTAGCACGAAATCCTAGCAGTATTTTCTATAAGAACGTTATCTAACTGCATTGCATTTTACTATATTTGTTGTAAAAAAATGTACGGGTTCAATATTTCTCCAATGTAAAATTTTCCTTTTTGTGAGGGTTCAATATTTGACATTTGAAATCAATTTCTTGTTATAAATTTTTTTTCATATTCTGCATTATAAAAAATTTTTTTAATATATCGTGCGACTTATAGTGACTAAGAATTTTTTTGAGAATTTCCTAATATATAATTGTTATTTTTCAAATTGTAATGTTAAAAAAGTATCAAACAAAAATTTAATAGAAATTTAATTTTAAAAGTCGATTTTTTCATTTTAGAAAGATGAAAATAGAAAGAAAAATTCTTTCCTAATATATACATATATATGTATATAAATATAAAACAATCATAATTATGATAAAAGTAAATAGAGTCTCAGTTTTTTTCGAATATTATATAGAAAAGTTTTACGAATAAACTTCACACTCTTATAATATGAATAATAAATATAATATGAATTCAAAGAAAATTACTAATCCTTTTTTACTGGAAACTATGAGAGACAGAGAAAAATGTAATATGAGTTAACTTTTAGATCTCATCGTTGCGCATCGAAAGAAAACAAAAAAAAAATGATTACAAACATTCTCGAGAATTTTCGAGTTTTGTAAAAAAATTTCAAAAAATAAAACAACAATTCTGACTTTGACGACTTCTATCTCGAAAACTGTGGCTCAAATCAAAGTAATTGCGATTCTAAATATAAAGGACAATCAATCACCTGTAAAACAAGCTTCTAATGATAGCTCTTTGTTGTATGGTTTCGAAGTTATAAACATTTAAATGCAGGAAAAGAATGATAACTTTTTTTAACAGGCTGTAGCTCGCCACCTATACAATTTTTTGCTGGAAATTGATCAAAGAATCATCCCGGAAATTATTTGGAACCTTATGCGAAACACCCTGTGTAACTGCATATATGTATAGTACGTACGTATTTTCTAAATGGGTTTTTTAAAATAAGTTTAACTAAAACATTAGTGGATGCACGCGATTGATGAATTTTTGTTTAATTGGTTTTTTTGTAACTATAAGAACAATTTCCCGATTGAAGAAGTTTAAAAATTAATCTTCCGTTTTTAAAAATAAAATCTTCCCATTAAATTATTTTCATTAGCTTTTTCTAATTACATTTTGCAATAAAAATATTGGCATAATTTACGGATTGGACGAAAATCTAAAAGAAGCAATCATAATTTTTGATGGCCATACATTTACTGCTATGCGCTTTTTTGTTGAAATTAAAAACTAAATTACAGTTTTGAAATAATAAGGAGCCGAAAATTAAAATTTTGCTTATTTTAAATGGTGAAGTGAAGACGGAAATGGTCATTTCCAGCGGGATGTACAAGGTGTCGAGTGTGATTCCGCCAACACTTAGTGGGGCGAGGCTTAGCTTTTCTCCGGAGGCTAAATTCTTGGGTCTTATTTTGGATCCTAAGCTAAGCTGGAAGTCAAACATTGCAGCAAGAGTCAGGAAGGCAATCACTGCGCTTTGCTCGTGTAGAACCGCCATCGGCAAGAGATGGGGTCTTGATGCACGCATGGTTGACTGGCTCTACACTGCGGTGGTCTGGCCACTGCGGCAGTTTTGGTGTGGTGGCGTGCACTGAATACGTCTGTCAATTTAAAACTGATTACGAAAGTCCAAAGTATGGAAATGATGTGCGCCCTACTCCCACACAGGCTCTCGAAATGCTTTTCCGCCTTATTCCGTAGTATGGAGGCTGAATCGGCCGTATGTTGGAGAGCTGTATTACGCTGATTCAATGGTCCTATAGATAACTCGGCTATACTTCGAGCTGTGGGACATGTTACTGGGCGGATAGATTATACCTTCCCTACCCTCTTGTTTACAAAAAGATTTTGCACTTCGATCCCGCCTATAGGTAAGCCTTGTGGGAAGTAGGCTTTATGTGGCGTGGATTTATTCATTTCTACACTGATGGATGCAAAGTGAATGGTAGAGTTGGGTGGGGGTCCGCTCCGAGCAGCTGAGTGCGGACATCTCCTTTCGTCTGCCGGACCGCTGCAGTACTTTTAGGCGGAAGTGGTTGCAATAGAGCGAAGTTATGCGCTGGCATTATGGTCGGCAATTTATGCTGCAGAGGAATCAATATTTTCACAAGCAGCCAGACAGCGATAGGGGTGTTTTTAATCATAATGGTTTGGGTTCCAGTGGAATAAAAAAAAATGCACGGCACAACGGGCCTTACTAGTCTATGTGTACCTCAAATTAGCCGCGCCGATCTAACCTAACCTAAATGGTGAAGTGAAGGTAAATGGAAAAAATATGTTCCGAAAAATTAGATTATTTTTTAATTTCTGTAGACTTTAAAATCGCTAACGGTATTAGTTTTGTCAACGTTAACGGTTTAACTTCCTCATTACCGGCTAAAGGATGTCGAAAATTAAAAAAAAAGATAAAGGTAATGCTAATGGCAATTTGGTCACATTAATGTTCGCTTATATGATAGTTCGGAGCAAAAAAACGAGATGATATTGTTTTACATTTGTGGATTGCTTTTGCTTTTAATTTGTTTCAATAAATTGTCAGAAATCGCATTTTTAGAATGCTACGACATAACTTTTTTCTCTAAAAACATAGGTATATACATTTTTTAAACATATTTTCTCACTATAGGATACATATAAAATTTCAGTTCTTGTAAGATATTAAAGTTTGTAAAGGCAAACAAATAGATAAATAAAAAAACTGATTAGAACATTTGTTTCTTTTTTGGAAATTGCGTGTAAAAATTCTTATAATTTGATCTCTTATAATCTGCGTTTCCTTTCGTTTACTTTATTTAAAATTTGCTTAGTGGAAATTATAATTGGTTTTCCGTTCAAATATTTGATAAAATTTATGTTATGCGAATGCACTCTAAATGTAATGCAATTTAGGTATGTACATGTGTATAATTACATAATTTTCGTTCATGTACATAAAAACGAAATATAATAATGGTATTTCGAAGATTAAAAATAATTTTATTATTCAAAAATATTTTAGCATGGAAACTAGGTGAATAAAAAGTTTTTTAATTCTTTTTTATTGTCGTCACAGGGAGTCTTTATGTACATACTTTTTATTTAAGACAGGAAAATAACAAAAAAATAAAAAAAAAGGAAAATATAAAGACTTAGATGTGAAAATTGGAATTGGAATAAGTGGAAAATTGTACACAGAAAGTAATGGGTGTGCTCTGCTTTTTAATGTTTATTTTTTATGAACTTATCTATTATACAAATGTTTGTAAGTAGGGTACCACATGCATAAGGTATATGTAATATTTTTTATATGTATATATGTATGCATGCACTTATGATTTGCCAGAAGTTTTTCTTTGTATTTAATAAAATTATAAAAGCTAAATAAATAAAAATAAAAGTAGAAAAAAAGCAAACATTTCTGAAGAACACTTAGTGAAGTGGAAAATTCTTTAACAAGCTTATTAATTTTGTTTATTTCATACATTCGAATTTATAAAATATGTATTGTATGTGTATGTATAAACATACGCGAGTTCGATATATTTGCATAACTATGTAAAAATGTATAAATATTGCAGCTTGTTATAGTGTTACGAGTTTATTTTTTTTTAATTTTTGTAAATATTTTTAATACAATTATGTTTTCATGAACTTGAAAACACATATTATGTAGAAAAACATTATTTTGAAGAGTATTATTAATTTCTTATTCGAGACATACATACATATACTAGATATATAGAACTTGATATTAGAGCTTGTTTAGTTTTAGCTTTATTTTGGATTCTAAATCACATAATAAAATAAATAATTGCGTTGCATAATTAAACAATAAATAACTTAACTCTTATTAATTCTATTCACACAGCTGACACAGTTTTTACATATTTGAACTTCTATAAAGGTAATAAACAATATACTTTAGATTTTTTCTTATAAAAATTTGTGCACTTTTCCAAAAAATTGCAGAAGATTTTTGAAATAATATTTCTTTTCTCTTTGCTATATAAATATCTATATGAGAACTGTTATGTTACAGTATTTTTCTTTAGTACATTTTGATTTCTTACTATATAATATTTTAAAATTTCTATATTCTGAATATGGCAAAACGCATTATTTCTATTCATTTGTTATATTAATTTCATACGTATGTGTATGTATATAGTTATCCTAATAAACTTTTCAATTTCGGATTAGTTTAGTCAAAAAATCTAGGACTTTTGAGCTTTTTTTTGAAACATGAAGAAGAGGGTTCCCGAAAAAGAGGATCGATGACAATTGGCTAGGTTATGTGTATTTAAAATATTGTGAGATACATTATTGTTATAAATTTTAAACAATTTTTAAAAATTAATTACTTTTTTCATAAGCCGAATATTTTTCAAATTTTAGGGTTATATCCGTCATTATTTTTATATTCCCAAAAAGAACTTGCATAATTAATGTAACAAAGAATGTAGATTTATGATATATAGAGTAATAAATAATTCGCTAAATTCTTACAACTTACCGTGAAAACCATTTGATGATTCCATTGATTAAAAAAATCATCATTATAGTAATTTACAAAACTCCACCAAGAATAATAATGTGAATATAATGATAATGTAAATAGAAAAATCATAGAATGTCTGGCACGACGTTGTAATAATAATTTTGTCAATTTTTTAACACTTTCGTATAAAACAATTATACAAAAGACACTTAAAATCCATATTTTTAAAGTATTTTGTGTTGCATTAAAATACATGTGTTTGTATGATGCGATACCAGATTCATAAGGTCCTTTAAAAACTGTATCCCAACATGAGCACGAACAAAAGCGTTTATCAACATAACGTGAATAATTTTGCCAAAAATACCATAAAACAACAATATGTGCTGGTGGTATAAGAGCTGGCGCAAGGCTACCTATAATTGGTGGTACCCATTTTAAATTTACCATTTCTTTCGTATTATCTGTAAAAAGAAAATAACATTATTTTAATAGAAATAATTGTGACTGTATATGTACGCATGTATAATTAAATTTTAGTGTTTTATACGTATAAAATTTAAAGTTAGCTATAGGCGGCTATGGTAGCCAGAATAATAAATTTAACTTAAAAAAGTACTTATTTAATTATACATTTTAATTTAATTTATTTTTCGGTAACCTACTTTGAAATATAAATTTAAATACATTTTAGATTTTAAATGAAAATTATGAATGGAAATTAATGGCGATTTTCAAAAATTTTCAAAAAATTTCGTAGCATTTAAACGTAGAATCCTAGCTGGAATATAAGCAAAAACATGAAAAATTATCTTATGTTTTGAGTTTTTATGGTTATTGTGTATTGTTAACAAGCGCATTTTAATTTCTTTTTCTGACTTAGTCTTTAATCTTTTTGGTTTAATTTAATTAAAATATGCTTCTGGTTTTCTAAAATTGCATTTAAGATTTAGAAAACCTAAAGACCTGTCATCATTGTTGTTATCACTAATATTTTTGTAAACCTATTATTCTCTTTTTGTTATGATCATTAAAAACTGAGCTGCGAAAAATATTTGATTCAGCTTTTTGTCTTTCACACATTTTTCCTTTATTCATTTGTTTTGGACAATGATGACAGGGGCCCTAATTTGAGTATTAAATATATTTTGCAAATAAGACAAATTTTAAAAGACATATGAAAATTGCGCATATTTTACTGCATATTTACGCATATTTTTTCTTGACAAAAATAGTATTAAAATAATTTTAAAAAAATCTCTGATTATATTCGCATGAAAGCGTCATTTACTGTTTTCTTTTTTACATGGTAGGTTATCTTCAACTTTTTCAATAAAATCTGAATTGCGGTTGTACTAGATAGAAGCTCAAACGAAAATGAATTAATATAAAAATCTGTTGTTTCTAGAAAATACTCTTTGATTAATTAATTAAAATATTTGCTAGAAAATAAACATCAAAATTTTAGTCCAACCAATTGCACTTTTATCATTGAAATTGCATTAAATTAAAATAAATTTTAAACTCACGAAGATTATTCGGATTTTAAAAAGACAATTTCGATTCTTTAAATTTAAAATATACGTACATTTTTATATAAAAAAATTCAATAATAAGAAGCATATTTTAATTAAGAGTACGTATGCGTACGTATTCATGGATATATTTAAATAAAATTTTATGTTTTTTTTTACCTTTAGCCTATTAATTTGCCAAAATTCATGGGAGCATAGAATGTCGACAAGAAGGGTGAATGAAATCAACAATTTTTCAGTTTGCAAGCATATTTTTAGAATTTGAATTAAATTTTATAAGACTACGCAAACCGCGTAATTAGCATGATCATATATAAATAATTTGCTTTTTATACATACATATGTGCACCATAATATCATTTTATTAATTAAAAGGAAAATTTTTGTTTTTGTACTTTATATATATTTAGAAAATAAGAACAATAAGAACGTTTGCAGTTTGTCGAAATTTCGATATAACTTATGTAGTAAATAAACAAATAACAACATGTACTTGATTGAATTATTAATTACAATGTTAGATCATAATTTTTGCAGGTTACGTGAGTTTATATAAGAACCGTACGTCATATTTACTATGTACGTATATATATATTTACCCGTACAGCAGTTATTTATTTTTCAAAGCAAACTTGCGTTTCCTATTTTAATTCTTCCATATACTGCATATATGAATAATTTAAAAAAAATTATTATCCAAGTACTTTAACCCTTATCTATGTTCTATGTATAAATAAATATATCCTTCCATAACTGTTATGGTTGTGTAAGAACATTTCGTGACAAGTAAACATGAAAATATCAATACAAAGATTGCATTAATTTTATATTATTTTTCTAAATTAAAAAAATAAAACAGAAAATTTTGTTTATGTATGTTGAAAAACAAATAAAAGATGATACGTGAAAAATTATCATTAGATCTGGAATTGCCACATTAAATTAAATTGAAAAATGTGTGACCTTATAGTTTTCAAATAATTTTCCCAATTTAAAATTATTGAAATTAAAAATAAAAAAGAGGTACCGACATAATTTACCAGTTGTCTATATGAACTTTCTTGTAGTATTTTAATGAAAAATTCAAATCAAACATGAAAATATGGCTTTAATCGATAATGTAAAATATGCGTCAAATTCTTTTGCATCTTAAACGATATTGTAGTTAACAAAGTGCTTTTGTTTGTTAACTTCTAAGTTCTAATCCGTATGTCCGATTCACATCTAACTAGAATTTAATACTAAACGGAAAAACAACACAAAAATATTGTTTTTTTATGACAATACCAAGAAAAATTTAAATAGAAACTGTCTTTTTAGAATACAAAATTTGATTTTAAAAACAGGTAAAAATTTTTAAAATCAGTATACCAGTTGAACTCTTCACCTATCTGAACTAATTTACCTAAAATATGTATCTAAAATTAAGAAAAACATGATGCATACCATTCTATAATGGAAGAAATATGTATTTTTTTTATTTCTAAATAATCGCCTACTTTTTAGATTATTCGCTTTCCACTTTTTAATGACCAATGTGAAAATAAAGTTAATTCACAAATAAAAATTGTGGTGAAGAAAGAAAAAAAAATGTGGGCAGAGAAAATACGTTTAATATCAAATGTCGCGTAATTACTAATGTCAATTGCCTGTCGTATTATTAAATTTTTTTCTAATAAAAAAAATTTCAAATGCTAAATTTTTTTTTGCGCAAAATTGATAATTTTGAAAAGAATTACTTGATTTAAATAAAATTTAAAATATTAAGTAAAATATTTTGTTGTTAAAGCAATATTGTTAATCGGTTGCATGCAAAAATTATACAAAAGTTGATATGCTTAAGTTTTTTTTTTGCATAAATTGTTGATTGCCGATTGGTAACCATTTGATGCCATTGCTACCGACATGCATTAAACGCTATCGATTACATCTTTTTAAGAGGAAAGAATTAAAAAATGAGAATATATATATATGTATATATTCAAGAGCTTTTAGAGAAAATGGGGCAACTGATATTTAGAGGCCATGATATTTTTCAAATTATAGAATGCATAAACAACAGAATAAAATTAATATTTTAATGCTTAAATTATTTAATACTATTTTCAATTATTGCACAAAGGCTTTACACATTTTCATATAAGCAAATATAATAATTACCTCCGAACGATCTCTTTCATAATTAATAAGTTGCTAGTCAATCTAGTCGGTCCCTATACATTGTTATTGGCGGATATTTTTTAATTTTTTTAAAAACACTAAATGAGCCCTCGCATTTTACAAAACTCATTGTCATGGTTAAAGAAATTTGGAGCTAAATTGCTGCATTAGGAAATATGTTAACAAATTCTAAATCGTTCATTTCTTTAAGTAAGTGCACTGGCTTTGTCCTTAGTTTAAAGTTGGATTTCTAAATACGCTTTAACATTATTAACTCTTCTAAAATTTCATCATTTATTTCATTTTTATATTTCTGTAGTAATGTTTTCCCCTTTAAAATTATACATTCCTCATCTATTTTGTTGAATTTCCATAAAACTTCAAATTAACTGGAAATAAAAGTAATTGCTTGAAATCGATGCGAAATTATAATTTTATTAAAAACAAATAGAAATATTCTTCTGGAAAATTATTTGTCTTTTTGATTGCCGATTTATTTCAAATTAAGGAGTGATTTCGTTATAAAAATTTTTAAAATTGAGTTAAAAGGACTTTGATTGAGTTAACTTTTTTGAGCAAAAAATAAATCACAAAACTTTTTGAGGCTTTCTCAACATTACGATAAAAGGTTCTAGTATTTTATTGCCACTACGCACAAATAAAAATATTTAACGCTCTCTTCATTGAAGACATAATATTCTCCCGTTGAAATATTTTGTTTAAAATATTGAGTTATTAATTTGAGACCTCGCAAACAATGAGCCTCAAAATTTAATTTAAACTTAAATAATTCTTATAACGTAGGATGTGTGCACACATAGATGTCTAACAAAAAGTGTGACTTAATAATTTTTTTCTTTACATGTTACATTTTAAAGTGTTAAAAAAGAAAAACAAAGCAGATAATAAAAGCAATTGAAAAAATGTAGTTGTCCAAATTTCTTATAATGTTATTTTAGTTTTAGATCTGAATAATATAATAAATTCGAATCAAACCAAAGGTCTGTGAAGAAACACTTTTACCTTGAACGAGCGAAAATGAAAGAAAAAACCACTCAAAAATATTTAAAATAATTTCGAATTCACCAGTTAATATGGGGTTGCTTCGCCCTTTCAGCAAGATTGGTGTCATCAATAGACGAACCAGTTGGATACACCTAAACAACCTGGCAAATTTTAAAAATTCCCGAAAATTGTTTTGAAATGTGTATACAAGTGAAATATAATTTCACTTGTATGTACGTATATACTACAAATCTAGGGTTTTCTGTCAGAACATGGTATTTACATTTTTGAAAAAAAAAAATTATGAAAACAGTATTACTTAAAAGTTTAAGCCTTTTCTAATACAAGAAAAAAATAATATTTCTAGTAGTTTAAAAAAATACTTGAAGAGCATTATAACTAATCAATTAATCCAAAAATTTTTCTGACGAAATTATAGATATGAGCTGGTTTTTTTGAAAGTGGTATAAGTCCTTGGATAAGGCAAAAAAAATTTCAATGGTGTTTTACTCGAAATGACAAAAATGTAAATACCATGCTCTGACAGAAAACCCTAGAAATATATACTTCAAATAACAATTTTAATAAGGTTGTGCAATAACTAAAAAAGCTTGAGTGTATGACAAGTGCGATTTGGTTCTATATAAATTTAGTTTATTATATATGTAAATGTAATATATATACATATACAGTTAGTTTTTAGCTTTTTTTTCAGCCTATATATAGTTGAACAGTGGTATCAATTTATCTAAAAAATTAACAGAGTTATCAAATGAATTTAAATATAATTAATTATAATGATTTTTACACAAAATAGTTTAAAAAAAATAGATTTATTAAATAAATCAATTTAAAATTAAAACTGCATTATAAATGCAATTTAGCATGATGTAGTTACACACTTTCATTGGAATAAAGTGCTGCCGCATGCAAATACATTGTGCATGTACATCATTTGAACTGCCTTGTCTCTTTAATATTAATATCCTTGCGAACGCGTGTTCGAAGGGCGTCTACGACTAGTTAGAAATAACTCAGATGGCAGAACTCTTTTGGAATTGGATGCGATCGAAGTAGTAGTTCAAGTAGCTGCCATAGAACTTCAAAAGTTATTTGGGTATATCCCACAAATTTTTGAAATTATAAAAACAAGTATGATAAAATTACGATTATTTTCGATGGAAACTTTTGATCTTTAAATATCATGAGTACAATGATAGCTGCCATAATACTTTAAAAGTTACCTTACAAATTCTCAGAAATTATTGATGTACAGTATTGAAGTATTGTACAATATTGAAGATTTGTAGAAGCAAATGTATTATTAAGGTTCGTATGTATGGTGAAGGTCGTCGAAATTACATTATTCGTTGCGGTAGTTACCATGCAACTTCGGAATCATATATTAATTCTTTAGCGAGATATTAACAGAAACTATTGAGACTACAGCTCTGAAATTTTGAACAGACGAATGTTGTTCTTATTTTCAATAAAAATATTTGAGAAAGTTTAGCTTTATATGATAACTAGAATGCCATAGCTTGTGTTAAATTTAAACATTGTGACATTTACATATGTAAATATTTTTAGTAAGACAAACAAAGTCATCGATTCTAGTTTCCGTGTTAAGTAGGAATATATTCATATGCTTCACACAATATTTCGAATCATCGAAAAATCACAATATTTCGAATCATTATTTTCCTACACGGGTGGAGGAATAAATTTTATATTTCATATGCGAATATGATTCGTATGAGCATAAACATAAAAATAAAAATATCGCAAGATTATTTGAATAATTTCCGAATTGCACACAATAAGGGAGGATATGTGATGGCACCGTATTTCGCATAGAAGAGTAAATAAACTATTTTTAGCGAGATGTCGGTCTGCCGGTCTGTCTTCCGAGTGTGCACGAATGTATCGGATTGATCAACTCTCGGGATATGCCTCGGAAATTTTTCTTTTTTTCAAAAAAATTTCGACAGATTAACTTGGAATTTTATATATAAGCTTTGTTTGACAATATGAGAAATCAGCAAACTTTCCAAGTCAGGTGGCAACAATTGAACTTTAATTGCGGCTCAAATTTAAATTTTCGCGCATGAAAGTAGAAATAACCAAACAATTTGCTTGAAATTTAATATTAAAATTCAGGGAGTAAAAACAATGAACTTATAAATCTTTTAGGATATCAGAGCCCGGAAATCGAAATTTAAAGGTGAATTTTACATTTTTTGTCATATTATATAAGGAAATAATTAACGGAATTTTTTGAAATTCATTATTTGAAATCAGAAAATATATTTAACAGTTTCTATCTGAAGTAACTGAAGAACTCTTAAGGAATTCAGTTGACATTAAGTCAACCTCCTCTAAGATCCAAATTTACTTTTTTCTAGGTATATGTTATACTAAAAGGTTATACTATAACTTCCAAAATATTTAAAAGAATTATTTAAAGGCCATTCTCATAAAGTTGTACAACATTTTCATTAAACTTGACAATATACTTTGAGGTCGGTTATGCAATGATCGCATCAGATTTTTTTTTTATAAAAGGAAGCTATAAAAATGCAACAAAGAAGAAGAACATAATTACATTTTTAAGTATATAAATAATTGTGATACATAATTTTGTATACAATTGTATTTCAAAAAAAAAGTCCAGAATTTGTTTGAATAAAATGTAGGAACTACGAATTATGTATACATATATACATATGTATGTACGTCTTGTTTTGAATAAATAAGGACAACGGCGAATATTCTGAAAGAATTTTAATAAGAATCCATCTATGTTGTAAATTTATGAATCATATACGGCGTATAAATCAAAATATTTACTTTATTTTTTTGATGTATGTATGTGTACATACACTAACACAATGAAATGAAAATTTTATATAAAGGAAAAAGAGACAAAAATAAAATATAACATAAAAAAAGGCGAAGCTCTATATTTTGATAAGATGTGCTTGACTTAAAGTTTTTATCACTTATGAGATAATTTTATCTTATATAAATTTTTCAAATAAAAATATTTACATATGCACGTACTCGCATTGACTTACTATATGTATAATCATATGTAAATATGTAATATGAATATAATTATGAACGGAATGATAAACAAATATTAGAGATTGTTAAGAAAAGAATAATAATTTGAATACTTACATAATAATTATTTTGAATTTTGTATCCTTTTTTTGTTTTTTTTTTATTTCAAAATATAATGACAGAGAATTTGGTGTTTGTTTGGTTTAATTTTTTGTGTAAATTCTTTTTCTTTAGGAAATTGTTATCCATTTGATATGCAGAAATGATATTGAGTTCTTTCCAAGTAGAAAGATTTCTTCGAGACATTTTCTTCTTTTTTTTCTCGTTTAAATTACAAATAAATTATAATTATTAAATTTTTTAAATTGAATTAATTAATTTTTTAAACAACTATTTTTATTGTTTAATAAATATTTTTTTGTTGAAAATAATTTCAAAAATAATTCGTTTAAATACATACGATTTCTGATTTTGGACTTTTTTCAAATCTTTAATACTGAAAACAAATTTTCAATAATTTACAGAAAATTATTAGAAATTTTTCTTCTTAACAATTTTATTTTAAATTTTTTTCAATTATTTTTTTATATATGTAACTATTTTAATTTATTTATAATTTTATTCAATATAAATTTGTATCAAAAATACTATTTAAATTTTGATTATTATTATAAATTGTTTTCTCTCAAAAACATTCCTTTTTTCTTTAATATTTTGTATAAAAAATCTTAGAACTAAATTTTCATTGTCTAACATTTTTGATATTTAACATCTTTCTATAGAAGATGAGAGATAACTACCGATAATTTGAAAAAGAAATAAAAAAAATGAGTTGAAAATTTGTGATTTGTGCAAAAGAAAAAAATAAACAATTATCTAAAAACTTTTTTCTTCTCTTTTTCGTTTGTTGTTTTAAAAAAAAAAGGAACAACAATTTTGAGCAAATTACATGTATTTTCAATCTAAAAGGAGACCGGAAAATGTTTTTCATTCAATTTTTTCATTATTTCTTATTTGTTTGGTACCTACTAATGTGTGAGTATGTAAGTGAAAACATAGAGAAAGCTTTTATTATTTTTGTATAATTTGTTGAATTTCTCACAAATATTAATGCATATAACAATCCATACAAAATGAAAAAAGTTCTTACAGGGTAATTTATGATTCGAATTGATGTTCAAATTTATCATTCTCATAGATTCATTATATGCATACAAATTTACATATGGTGTGAAGGACCACTATTACACCAAAATATTATCAGGAACTATGGTTTCCCCGATGGTTTATGGCTTCTACTTTGTTACTGAATCATCGTATATGATGGTGTCTTATTTCAATTGCTAGGAAGGGAAATATTTTCCTCAAAAAAGAAATACTAGTATTTTCCCAAAAGTTTTGGAGAAACAATAAAGATACAAAAATAATTCTAATTTCCTTACAGTTTCCAATTACTATGTAATTAATTGTTATATTTTAGTATTTACTCTGTGTGAAAATATTTTTAAATATAGTATACTACATGATCTGACTTCAAAACATTTTTATTATGATTATATCAGTTGTATATGCAGTTCTGTTGTTTCAAAAATACATTTGGGTAGTACATTTCTAAATTTTTGGGGAGTATTTTCATTCTGAGTGTAGTACAATTTTAAAACAATTTTTACAGTACTACGCTTGGCGAAACTGCAGTACAATATTACTATAGTAGTACGTTCTACAGCGCTGTTTGTATGTAGATTTCCATTTGTTTATGCGCGTCATTATAAAAAGCTATGCGCTTAAAGAGCATATGGTTCTATGTAAAATATCAAAAAAAGAAAAATTAAAATTAAAAAAAGCTTTTGTATTTTTATTTCCCTGTTTTATTTTATAACTAGACGATATAACTACATTATATGTATGTAAATAAAGATTATAGAGTGATTCCAAGTAAACATATAAAAACCTAAGTTTAAATGTAATTAAATTATTATAAAAATAATTTTCGTATAATTAAGAATATTTTGAGTTAACGAAAGAATCAGTTTACGTTTTCTTGTTTTTTTAGATCAATTTCTATTTAATTTAATTTAATTTAATAAAAGGGGAAACAAAATTAGATCAAAACAATAATTTCTGAGATGGTATTTTTCTTTTGAATAATCTTTTTTGGTTCTCATTTTAATAAATTATTTAAATTACTTTCATTTATACATCAAAGTATATCAAATTATTGCGTATATTTCGGATAAGAAAAAAAAATTGAAAGAAGGATACATAACGACTATTTGTCATTAAAAAGTTTGACTATACTAGGGATGGCAAACCTTTACCGGACTCCGTGCCAAAAATAATTATTTTAGAAAAATGAAAATACTCGCGTGCCTTAAAATAAATAAAATATATTTGTCATTTACACAAATATGTCGATTTATTTATAACTGACATAATCTTATATATACATACATTATAAATATAGAATTAATGAGATTTTTGTTGTTGAATTGCTGCCGCTAAGTCATCAATATCAGGATGATAATTAGTTTTTTTTAAAGAAATACAGGCTTCACAGGCTTCACTTAAAAAATGTTTGGAAACAATTTTTAGCAAATATAATTTCCATATTTTAAGCAAATATAATATCGGAAATATAAAAAATTTTGCACTAAAGTATTTATTAGCGAGTGCCAGGGAAAGTAGAGACGAGTGTCACCTTGGGCACGCGTGCCTTAGGTTCGCCATTCCTGGACTATACTCTTACGTAGAAGAAGCTCTTAGTAGAAGAAGCCAGTCGTTACTCTTTTTTGTGTTTAATGAATTTAAAAATGTTTAGGGTTTCGATAGAATAAATAGTCAAATGAAGTTGAGTCAAACCAACAGCTTGTAAAGTAACACTCTTTCCTTCAACATGTGAAAATAATGCTTTTATCAACAGTATACTACATTATTAAAATTACTTTCGTTCATATGTTAAGTAAAATATTGCATATATTTAAGATGAAAAAAAATAAAATAAACAGGCGTTAGCATAATTATGAATTCAAGTGTTCATTGCGTAAGTCTATATTTTTATGGCATATTTTTTTATGGCATAATATTTACCGTTAGCTTTCGGCATTTATAGAAATTTATAAAAGCTTGCAGTTTCGGAAACATAAAGCGCCAAAAGATTTAGTAATTCGAATGCTGATAATTTGATTAACAAGGGGATTGAGGTGGATAAAAATTGTCTTCTAACGAAATATGTAAACAGTATCTACACTAAGCTGTTGAAATTTCAGGTTTTTGTATGTTGTCGTCTACAAAAAAAAAGCAATATCAAAAATTTGAAAAAAAACGGAATCTAAATAACCTTCAATTTTAACCGTCAGTTTGTTTTTTTAAGGATTAACTACTCCATGCTACTGTAAAAGAAGCCCACTATTAATTATCTGCGTTTGCAGAATTTCTAAACGATTTATTGGTACAAAAAATTTTATTTTATTTTTAAAAAGGCTCGGGATTTTATGATTACTTGTTTAAACCATAAATTTTTGTCAACATTGGATTTTTATTCGAATTCCCCGTTGTTTTTAATCAAAAAGCATAATTTTTTTTACTGCTTTCTTTAACGATACTATTTTCTTACAACCTATTCATAGTTTATCATAGTTATAAATCTCGTTTTTGCCTCAAATAACTGGCACTTGTTTAAAATTCCTGAGTTTATTTCGCATTGATATTACATATACGTTCTCACAATTTCTTACTGTTAACTCTATGTTTATATATCTTGCTCAACCATTTTCAATTCATTTCCAACCATTAATATAAAATATGTCCTAGTTAAGAAAATGAATTCTATTCATCCTATCACGTTCAAATAAATTTGGTTAAGATTGATCTTAATTGAGTTTTCGAAAAATAAATTGTTTCTGCCAGAATTAAAATTATCCCGCTAAGTGTAGTCATATGCTAAGTGTAGTTTCATTCGAGAAACTTTAAACATAAAAAGTTCTCTAAGTTTTGTTGCGAATCTTTTTTTAGAAAAATGGGCCTGTGAAAGCTCTGAAAAAGTTCACTAAATACCATCTTAACATTCCTTTTTAAACTAACTTAAAACTGAATTTTCAAAGCGCAGTAACTAAGATAAAACCTTGTCTATCGAACTATAGCAGGAATTAACTTTTACAACCTAACCGTGTATCTCGTTTTTATCTCCGTTTTTATTCACTTTTTACTCATTTTCAAATCAGAATTTTCCGTTTTTCTAATGAATGTTTCTTTTTTCCAATAAGATTACTCAGTTTTTCAATTGGACTTTACCTTTTTTTCTCAAATTAGCGGCTGAACCTCTCACTTTCAAAAACAAAGTGAATTAATTTTATATATATAAAATATATATTTTAGAAAGAAACGAGATACACAATACCGAATAATTCTTCTCACTCGAAAAGTACAAATGTAAGATAGTTACTCACCTTGTTCTCATTTGCCGAATAATGTAACGAGAAACACCATCAGGTCCTAAGTTATGTTTTTTTTGTCTCTTATTAGCTTTTGTGTTCGATTCATTGCAAAGGAAAATCCCATGATAGAGGTAAGTATTAATGCATTGGGCTAAAATAAAATTAGTCTTTAACATAAAAAGTTTCGGTAGTTTGCTGAGAATGAAACCAAAAACGCCTATAACGTACAAAATATCTTTGTATTCTAAATTTGCCTTACCGTTTGTAACGCTAAGTGTATGTTTTTAATCAGCGTCAAATTCTGAGTTAATTTAGCTTTGTCTGTCCGTCCGTCCGACCGTCCCAACAATAACTCAAAAACTAATTGAGCTAAATTCACAAAATTTTCATGAATGATTTATTGTAGTAAGTGTTGGAACCCTATTTAAATTGGACATGATCGGGGTACCAGTGCGAGTAGCTGGCCCTGGCATACAACTTCAAAATATATTTGGCTATACCTCAGAAACTATAAAAGCTGTGGTATTGAAATTTCACACAAAAGAATATGCTTAAAAGTAGGGCCAATATGCTTGATAAAATTTGTTAAAATTTCTTGGCTCTTTCTGCCAGAGCTGCCATTCAACTTCAATAGTAGTTTGGCACCCACAGTATTTTGAAAAACACATAGTACTGAAATTTTGCATAAATTAATATGGTAATATGGTAACTTAAAGTCACAGTTTATTCCATAGTCAGTTATGGCATATTTATTCGCACATAGGATAACAAATTCGTACGGGTATCACAGAGTTGACAAGGTCAACTCTATTTTTTCTCGTTGTATATGTGTTCAAAATTTTTTCAAAAATGAGAACTATTCAATTCATTTAGTACACAAATTTTGTTTGTTTTTTAAAATTTAATTTTAATTCAAATTTAGGAATTGGACTAACCAATAAAAATGATTAATGAATTGCTTTTTATGTTAAGATTTTAATAATGTAAATAAACTCCAAAGTCTTCAATAAAAAAAAAATTTTAAAATTTGTGTAATTTAGATGAATACATACATATGTGACAAAATATGTTTTGTTATAAAATATTACTAGCTTTAAGAAAAGTGGATTGAAAATTTTATTTTTTTATGAAAATATATTATGAAATTAATAAAAATAAATAAAGTTGGGTCAAACCAATGGTTTGTATTGTAGCACTTTTCCCTTCAACAAGTGAAAATTCTGCTTTTAAATACAGTCTTCGAGTATGGATACCTATCACACTATTAAAATTATTTTCATTCATATACAAAACTATTTCTAGGATTGCATATATTTCGAATGATGCATACATGCAGTCTCTGAAATAAAGCAAAAATTAATATAAAGAGGGGTTAACATAATGCTCGATTTTAAGGGTTATTTGTGCGAGTTAAGAAAAATAATTATATTTTTAATGTCATGGAAATTACCGTTAACTTTTTGCGTTTATAGAAATTTGAAATATAAGGTATCAAAAATTCAAATTTTACAAATTTCAAGAGGCGATAGCTTGAGAGGGGGTGGAGATGGAAAAAAATTTTCTTCTAACAAAATAAACTATTTGTTAATGTCTAAAAGGCCCTAAAATTTCAAGCTTCTACAGGCTGGGGTCTAGAAGAAAAACGAAATCAAAAATTTGCAAAAAAAGGACTTTAGATAACGGTAAATTTGAACGGCCATTTTGTTTTTCTAAAGTTTAGCTGTAGTATACCGTGCTAGAGGAAGCAAGCCACTGTCTTTCTGCTTTTGCAAAATTTCAAAAATGCTTATGTTTTCATTGGAACAAATAGTTAAAAAGGCCATTTTTAGGGTTTTGGGGGTATATAACTTCTAGAGGGGGGGGGGAGATAGGTAAAAATTTTGTTCTACGGAAATAAGTTTCTAGTAAAGATCTATGTACGTACAAAATTTCAGCTTTCTATCTTCAAGGGTGTAGAAGTTTTGTAAACAGACACACGGACAGACGGACGGACGGACGGATAGAGTGAAACTAATAAGCACTTTTTTTCAAAATTTTTTTGGAAAAGTGCTAAAAATGAATTCAAAAATTTTTTTTCAAAAGAAATTTTTTTGATGTTTTTACTATTTTGTTTTACCTGGAACATGTTTTGTTACCTGTAATTTATTATTCTAGTTTGTCTATTATTCAAGTCATTTTACTAATTGTGTATTTAAACGAAATAAAATAATTTCTGTACATATATTTTATATTTAATAGCTTTCTATTTTTAAAACACCTCATATCACCATGAACATTTCTAATTTATTCTTACATAAGAATATATTTCTATATGATGATCAATTTTCAATACACCATAGGTCTTATATAAAGATATTTGTGGTGAGACCCATTGAAAGTAACGGTTTACGCAAAAAAAAATTAATTTAAGTTTAAGTAATTAAATTAAAATTTGTTGAAACCCTTTTATTATCACATAAATTTTTATACATTGTAAAATATGTAGACCTTTAGAAAAAAAAGAAAACAATCAAATGTATTTCAATAACATTTTAATTACCAACAATTAAATTTACAAACATATATACTAAGCCATATATACATACATATACATAAGTAACATATAGTTTATACAACATATTAACAGCTAATTACACAGAATATATCTGAAATAATCATTAAATTATTCCCGTATAAATTATTCCGTTAATATATACGTAACTATTACAATAAAATTTTAAAATCAAACAATAAAAAAAATATTTTAAAAAATTAAATAAATAAGTTATCCTTAATTTTTTTTAAAATGGTTATAAAATTACATCAAATTAAATGAAAAACTGTATACCTTACACAGTAAAAATGTAACTGTGTACATACATGTATCATAAAGTGTAAGTAAATATCTCGTTATGTTAAAGAAGAACTATAGGTTAACGTTTTTATATTAACTTTAAATTTGGACGAAATTCACTTAGTCAAAGTGATCTGCAAAAGAATTATTATTGATATGCTTTTTGCAGGAAGATTCAAATTAATACATTTAAATTCTTCATTATGGTTTTTTATGCACACAGCTGATTTGGAATACAATAATCAGTCTTTTTCTACTAGACACATCACATTTTTTTTGTCACTTTGCATTTTGTAGTAGACGCGACCAAAAAGTTAGAAAATTGTTTTTAAATAAACTAGTGGCAGACAAAAGGATAAATAAAAAATAGTTAATTTAAAAAAAGGGGTTAGTTTTTGGATGTAAGGGATGAAGAATATGAAGAAAATAAATTTTCCTTTAAGTTCGATCGGTAATTATACATACTGCCAAAATTGCTTGTATAACAGTTTCGTGCTTTATTCCTCATTCAATTATGAAATTTAAATATTTCTATTTTCTACTAAATTTCTCACAAATAAATTTCTATACATAATATGTATGGGTAATTTTGTTCCGCCACTGATTTCGGAAAAAAAAAACAAATTGTCAAAAAAATTTCAAAAAAATCATAATTTGGATAACGGAAAAAATCTTAAAAATGTGTATTACTCGTATAACAAGAGAATTCGAATGTAAACTTTATTTTGAGGAAATAGATTAAATGTGCATATATCTGTGGAAAATGAATTTCTAAATGTATGATATGTCTATTTGCATGTGTACCAGTTTTGTCTTTACTCTTTTACGAGATTTTACAGATCATATATTGTATTATGTTAATAAGATACATGGATATTCCATATTAATGAATGTACAGATTGCTTTAAAAAATTAGCGTACCTTCTATAGATGCGTAATATGTGTAATGCATATAAAATTTTGTAATAAATAACATAAAAAATTAAAAATTTTATATATTAAATAAATTTCAACTTACGAAATTCTAAAATTAAGATTTAAATTGTCATTTAAAATTGTTGAGGTTGTGATTTATAAAAATTTACGATATTTTAAATATTCAAGACTTTTCTAAATTTCAACCGGAATCGAGTTGCAAAGGAATTTGAATTTAAATTAATTTCAAAATTGGTGTTACAAATTTTATTTTAACTCACAAAAATATTTGTACATATGTATAGAAATTATTTTCTAAATGTTAAAAGTATTTTCATCCTGTTTAAAATTAAATTAGTCCTTTTTAAAATGATAATAAAAGATAATGCACCAAAATTATCAGGTAATATTTATCAGGTATCACGATTACAAATATAGAAAACTGAATACAATGAATTGACATTAGGCTTTCGAAATTAAATATCGCGAATCTCGAATCGATTGAAATTTAGAATACTTATTTTCACATATGTACATATGTTTTTCATTTTAACTATTTAATTTGGCAAAACGTAGGTTCACTTGAGCTTAGAAACTATATATCAAGACAATTAACATAAAATACAAATTTCTGTAAGAATTTTACTATCTTGCAAGTGAAAACCCGATAAAACATACATAAAAATTTTTTATAACATCTTTCTTATTTAGAAATCTTGCAAACGTGCTTGATGTTTAATTTAACGTACAGTTGTGCAGTTTGTGAATAAAAATTTATAGATATTTTTTTTTTCATAATTTTTCGCCAATTTATAAGAATTTAGAAACATACTTCAATTACAAATAACTTCTTTCCTTATTTAAGATAGCATTTCGAAACACTAATCCTTGTATTAGAAAAATTCTGACGTGTGCAAAATGTGGCCGAAAGCTCTGCGTATTTCCCAAATGACGTTTAAAAATAATAATATATTTTCCCGTTTTAATTTGGCAAATGCGTAACATACAAAATTGAAGTACCAGTGTTGGGTAAGCTTATTTTAAAATTTAAGATTAGTAATCTGAAATGAATCTATAAATCTCAAAATGTAATCGACCAAATTCATGATTCGTAAAATTTATTTTCTTTAGATTTGTATTTAAATAGCCTTACATGTAGATAATGAAAACGATCTATTGAAATAGATTTTTTATTACTACGTATATAATTTTGTATAAATTTAGATATAACATTTATCTAAGCATAATGAACTGTATAGCTAATTAAGTTTTTTTAGGGTATAATAATTTCATAATGGTATAATTTTAAGAGAATCTAAAATATTTTTTATTCTGTTATAGAAGTTATAGGGAAATGAAATGTTAACTTTGGCGAAGAATTATTTGAAAAAAAAGTTATTTGAAATGTCAATTGGCCAACCTGACATATTGTATACATTGTATTCTGCTATGACAATCAATTTTTCATATTTCTAAGAGTGAGGTGATACGAAAAATTTGGTTTTAGGGAGATAGTGGCTTAATAATTAAGGTTTGCCTGCGTTAACATTTTGCTTTTTATCTTGAAAAGTGAAGAAACACCATAAACGAGTGAGCAGACTGAGTTAAACAAATAGGAAAATATGCTAAAAATTGCAAAAAATTCACATTTCATTCTTAATTTCTATGTCCTATTTCTAATGCCAATTAATAATTGTCTTAGATATAGTCAAAAATGTAGCATGCAGAGTCAGCAGAAATGCAGTTTTCTCGTAAGTTAAATGCAAGTTATTTCGATTTGTTTTTCTACACTTTTTAATTTCAATTGAGAGATTTATCTTAATTTCATTTTTGATTAACTTCCAAAGCTTAATATGCTTTGCTGCTATATTTTCAACAATATTTTGCCGAATAGATAACAGGTTTGTTTTAAATTTAAAAATTATCTTTACAAGGGATTTATTTTATATCGCAAAGTGTTTATTCCATCTTGCATTTTCAAATAATGGCTCGCCATTTTCAACTTTTTGTGTTAGTTCATCGGTATTTTAATATATGAGCACATATGAACATCATTTGGGAAGTAAAATATTTTCGGTCGTATACTGGTCACACTACAAACTTATGCGCTCATAACTATAAGTGAAAGATTTTGCTGAAGTTTTCAATATTAAAATATACAGTTAGGTGCACTGATAATTATGGGCTCAGTTTCAGATTTCAATTAAAAGTTCAATTCCTACAAACATTCTTTTCATTAAACTATTTGGCAAAAGTAAAATTTTAAAAAAGTCATTCTTCAGTGCACAATTTTCTTTTTATATAGTGCAAATTGAAATATCATTACAAATAATATGTTTTAATATGCTAATAATGCAGTTTGTTTGTTAAAATGTGGTATTTGACAATTTAACTGTTTTGGATAATTCAACATTTTGAAGGTGCGTTAAATTATGATCTAATTCAGTAGCTGGACATGCTGATGAATGAGATAATTCTTCTTGAGTTATTTTGATCGGATCAGTATTGTTTAGAATTGCAATTTGATTGCCTTGTGCATTTTGCATGTTTTGGTCTTGTGTAGCTGATACTGCTGCTTTAACACTATGGTGACGTATTGATGATAACGTTGACGAACGAAATGTCGATGTACGTTTGACTGACATATCTTCTCCCAAAAACATTTTACGAAACTCTAAACGAAATCTTGGATGAGTAACAGCATATACATATGGATTAATGCAAGCAGAAATTTTACAGAATATTGCTGGTACCATAGAACAAAGTGGTGTTAAATAGTATTCGTTGCCAGAAATTCCTATTAGAGCTACTACAGCATATGGCGTCCACGCTAAAAACCATAATGATATTATACCACTCACTATTGCAGTTAACTTAAATTCAGTCTTATTTTTATCTTTGCTTGACTGTATGCTATTCGCAGATATAACCACCTAAAAATATAAATAAAACAAAATAGTACGATTGAAAAAAAAAGATCGTAATTATTCAAATATTAGGTATATTTTTCAATATATTATAATATTCACCTTTAGTATGTAAAAGTAACAGTAAGATATTATTAAAAATGGGAGTATATAAGCTCCAATAAAAAAAGTGAACATAAAAATTTTCGCATCGTCTTTTTTTGAAAGATAATCAAAACTGCAGGTTGTTAAAAATCCTTCTGGTACATATTGGCTTAATCCTATATCTAGTGCTGGAATACTCGCAAAAATAAGACTGTAAGTCCACAAAAATAAAAGTATTAGTCTTGTACGTATTTTTGTTGTGCCTCGTAATGGTTCTAGTGGATAAACGATAACATGATATCTATCAATCGAAATAGCAGTTAAAGTTGTTATCGAAACACATCCTGTTAGTCCGCCAAGAAAGCCATAAATACGACATCCTTAATTTTACAAATTAATTAAAATTCAAATATAAAAAAACTTAAATTTTTAATTTGTAATAAGAAGACTAACATTTAGATATAAATATGTTAAAACTAAAGAATGCTTCGCTAGCGTCTTCGATTAGAAACATGATCAACTAATATGAAAAATGCCAATGTATAATTCAAATCTTAATAAGTTAATTTAATCACCAAGATTATCTGAGAGGCATTACTTAAAGTGATGGGATGTTATTCAAAAATTTTGTAGTTTTCAAAATTAAATCAATTTTGAAATTTTAGATCGATATATATTTCAATTCTTTTAAATAGTATAATACGTGATGGATCCTAGAGAACATTGATGAATAACTTTACTTTACAACATATTTTTGTGTTTAAGCTATGTTTAAAGTTTTAATCATTAAGTTTTGTTGCATTCCACGAAAAATGAACTGTGATACTTTCTAGTGTAATAAAAAATATTAAGCTCTTAAATAAAATAAAATAAATTGTTTGTTTTTGGTTCTGATAAATTTTTAAGTTTACCTAGATCTCCAAGTGCCGGTCCTAAATTATAGCTGTTGTAAGCTGCAATCGGAGATTTTCCTATCATCAGAAAATCGCTTATAGCCAAGTTTATTACCAGAGTATTAGCAGGTGTTCGTAATGACTTACACCTGTTTATTAATAAAAAACATACTGCTTAAAATAATATTCATACATAGATTTACATAAAATTACAATTAATGAAACAAAACATATAATATTTGACAGAAAAGTAAAAAATCTTAGGCGATATTTTAATAATTTGCATATTGGTATACCCATAAAAAAGTCAACTACTCGTATCCCCAAAAAAATTTATTTTTAATTGTTAGTCACATATACATGTCGCCGGCTGGGAATTATGTTATCGCACGCGTCATTTAGTTAGTTTCGAGAAAAATGTATTAGAAAGTTTGATTAAATTTATTGAGAAAACTATCCGATTTTATCTTTTTTTATTACTTAATAAAGATTTTGCCACATTTTTTCGTACAAAGATTTTTTAAGCACACTATAGAAATTAGTTTAAAAGTTGTAAGCATTTTTGGAAACGAAGGTCACAGAATTGGTTTAGTCCATCTCATATGTTTGTTAATTTTTTTTTCACATTGTGGGAGGCGGCGTAAAATATAATGGATATGGAATACTATAAACTAAACTCAAATTTTATCAGTTTCTTTGAGACTTCTGCGTTGGGGCTTTAATTATTTTAAAAATTAATAATGTGACATAAAAATATGTCAAACAGAAGAGTTTTTTTTATACCATTTGTTTCATTGTAAACTTTAAACCATTTTATCAATTAAAATCTTAATATTCTGTAAATAAATACCTGTAGAGCTAAAATTCGATGGCTAAGTTCGTTCTTGGCTGTCCTGATTTATTGCACTATCAGCTACAGTAAAATCGGGTTCGATTTCGTCAATGGCTAAATATTTAGATTTTGTTGATGATAAGTGATATGATAAATTATGTATTTCTAAGTTTTTCAAAAGAGTTTTTAAGTTTTAAACTCTCCCATATGAAAATTTTAGTAATATTTAGTTTTTTCATTTAAAATTACATTTTTGAATAAAATTCATATTATGTACTTATTTTTCCATACACTTCGATATATCGTTGATGACATTATGTTCCGACAAACATGTCAGTTTACTAAGAAAGCAAAAATTATACTGAAATTTTATGAGTATTATTTTGATAAAAATAATACTGAAAGCTTGGAGTTGATTTAATATGGATATGGAAAATAAGTAAGAAATTTAGTTTTATATTATTACATTTGAATATAAACTCATATTAGCTTGAAACGTGGAAAAAACTCTGTAATTTGAGAACGGGTACAAATAGGGAAAAACAATAAAATAATTTCCAACCGACGATATGTGTACAACACCATGCTTATAGTTTCCAAAAAAATTATTATTCATACATCTATAATTATTGTAAACTTACCTTATAAACATAAAAATTACCAAAGCATTACCACAGCATCCGAAAATTGTTAAAAGTACATATATAACTGCAATTATCATATGAGTTTTTTCTGCTGGAGGTGAGAACTGTAGCCAAAACTCATTTATACGTTCAACATATTTTTTATCCAAATTACCAGTAAATAACGTGAGTGCTGGATGTGTTCTGGGAAGAAACTTTGTTTTAGTAACCCTGTCTGTTTTTTATTAGAAAAAAAAATTAATTTTAAATAAAAAATGTTTGCATATTTAGAACGTTCATTCAGACATATCGCACATATAGAAAGAATTAAGGTTAACTTTGGTGTTAAAGAAATCTGGCAAGATAGGATAATGGTATGGAAGGAAACTCCCATTCCGCCTTTTTTATTTTGATCTAGTCAGAAAGATTTTATTATATTTGAGAATTTAATGACAGAATGGTTAAAATTACCTTTGGTAATTTCTTACTGTTATGGAAGCTATAATTTTTTACGAGGATATTACCTTATTTTGAATTGTTAAACGTCAATTCGACAGCCATTTATTCTGTTTTTCTATTGTACAGGGCGTTTTTCATAATGTGGCAAATAATTTCAGGGATTATTCTTTGATCAATTTCCAGAAAAAAATTGTGTGGGTAGGGTGGGATGCGGATGTACTCGTTTTCCAACTATAGCCTGTTGAAAATTTTTTTTCGCATATTTTTTGAACACATTTAACAGGTTTTACTGGAAATACTATGAGAGATGAGCAAAATATAATATGTGTAAATTTTTATCAGCGCATCAAAAGAAAAACAAAAAAAAAATTAAAATTTTTGAGAAATTTTGAGTTTTGTAAAAAAAATTTCAAAAGAAAAAAAAATTCTGATTTTGACGAGCTGTATATCGGAAACTGTGACCCATATCAAATTTTAACGCCAAAAATAAAGAGGAATCAATCGCCTGTAAAACAAGCTCTTAATGATAGCTCTATGTTGTATGGTCCTGAAATTATAAGCATTTATTTTTATGCAGGAAAAGTTGGTTTTTTTTCAACAGAATTTTTTTGGAAATTGATTAAAGAATCATCCATGAAATTATTTGCCATCTTATGCGAAACACCTTGTATATATTCTTATTAGTTTCTTATTATGTTTCTTATTGACAATTATTTCTTCTTATAAATTTTAATTTTTGACTTTTCGGCTTTTACAGAGCTTTAAAAATTGCTTTTGGTTTGGGGACAGTAGTTTAACTAAAACTTGCACTTTGATTGCTTGGAAAGGTTAAAAACTGAAGAGCGGGCCAGGATACGAAAATAATAGTGTTAAACAGTGTAAAATTATATTGTGCAAACAGATAAACACACGGATAGGTTGTGTAAAACTAATAGTTATATAATTTTTTTAATATTTCTAGAAATGTCCCAAGGAGCAACAACACTTACAACATATTTGTAAGCTTTCTTAGCTTACAATATTGAGCGATTGACAAATTGAACTTTATAAGTGCAGCAATGGAAATTTGGAAACCTATATGTGTCAAATATTTATTCTTTGAATATTTTAGAATTTTGAACGTTATTTTGCCAAATGTAGTTTGGCAAGAAACTTGTAACGGTAATTATACTTACCTTAAAGTTTTATTTAATTCATCTGGCTGTATTATAAATGGAATATCTGTTATTAGAGCATATGTTGTATTATCATAATATGTAGCAGTTGTTGAATTGTATGATATTCCACCCAATAAATCGAAAGATTCCGTAAATATATCTGGTGTTCTACTTTTTGCAATTTGTGTAAAATTTGTTGAATTATTTTCCCAATCCATTTTATTCCGATATTTGGTCCATTTGTATTGAAATAAAGCGAGAACTTAATGCAGCTTTGAACTATTAAATGCAAGCTTTGAATGCCTTGTCACTATTTGAGTACTCATGTTTTAAAGCTTATAGTTTAACCTCTTTCCGCACGTCGGTTTAAAAACTTATTCGTTATATAAAACTACGTACGTACAACCGGGTACATGTGAGTATAAGGGCTTACTTTCATAAAGCAATATTACAAGAATTGTTGTAATATTGTATGTCAACATCAAAAGTCGTGGAAATCTGAAATTAAAAAGAAATTGGTAAGGCTTTTTGATATTTTGCTCTATAAATAATTTGTAGTACAGCTATTTCACTTATTCATTGTACTTATATATTTTAAAAATTTTAAATGGAGATTCACAATGTAAGTTTCAATTCTGAATTTGAGTAAATATTTTTTATCAATTTTTTCTTCTAAATGTTTTTAATGTTTTTAATGTTTCTTAAAAAAAGTATGTACATAATTTTTTTATTGGAACTTTGTGATATAGTGAATCCTTATAATATTTTCACTATAATTTTATATACACATTACAAGAATACTCGTAGACGTAGAAATAGAAACCCAGCTACATGTATATCCAGGTGCATTCCTTATTGCCGACCGTATTGCGAATACAATGGATAGGTTATGTGATGGCAACAAATTTTGCATATCGACTTTTCGGTGGGAATGCACTTCCCATGGTAGGGAAGTGTAAATAAACTACTTTTAGGAACCTTTCAGTCTGTCTGGCTATGTGTGAACGCGTGTATCTCAAGTTCGGCTGAACCGATTTTGTTGAAATTTTATATGTAAGTTTATTTCGAACATTGCGCAGATTTATCAACTTTTGGGATATATCAGGCCTCGTGAACTGCATTTTTTAGCCGGTCTGTTTTACATTTTTGACCATTTTGAAGAAAGCATTCAACAAATTTACTTGAAATTTCATATATTAGCTTCGTTGGACCATCTGCGAAGCCTCTTAACTTTCGGAAGAAATCAGGCGTCAGCAACTGGACGTTTACTTCGGAACAAATATACATTTTTAAGTGTATAAACAGAAATAATCAACCGATTTCATTGATATTTTGTATTTAAATTCTTCATATTAAAACAATGAACAATAAATTTTTTAGAAAGATCAAGGCTCGAAAACTGATTTGCGGGCCAATTTTACATTTTTCACCATATCTACGGAACGAATTGATGGAATTTCTTCAAATTTGATGTTGGAGTTCTGGTTGTTACCCAAACTAACTGGCGAGCATTTCAGGGAATTCGGGTAGCACAAAAACGAAACTCTACTAAGAGCCAAATTTACATTTTTCTAGGTATTTTAACAATAAGCTTATACTCTAATGTCCTAAAAACTGGAAAGAAGTATTTAACAGACATTTTTATAATATTCTGTGCAAATTTTCAAAACAATGCAGAGCAAATTTATTTTATAACCGAGGTCATTTCATCCTTATTTTACTACCATAGTTTCTAAAAAGAAATTATAAAAGAAGTGTAGCAAATTTCGCGGTGTAAAATGTATACCATGGATAGCATGTTTTGTTTTCGTTAACATTAAATTAACCGAATCTTGTAGATTAATTTTATACTAAAGTTCTGGCGTAATGGCACCAAATTTCACATGCCGGGCTTATGGAAACTCATAAACTACTATTAAAAATACATATGACTGTCCATTTGTGTGTCTTTCTGTGTACTCTTTCAGCACAACCCATTTAAATGAAAATTTATTTTTAAATTCTGTTGAAAATGAATATTTGAAAGATTGCTTATGTCATATGACCGGGTTGATAAAATTTTGTGATATGTCAGGTATCAATCATGGATTTTTTCTACAGTAAATTTTGCGTTATTGGGTGCTCTTGAGAAAATAATTGATTGACTTTTTTTAGATTTTATATAACCTTGATATGATAATACGACGATTAATCTAGCTTGAAATTCTAATGCCAGAAACTGGACTTTGCAGACAAAATTTACATTTTAATTGGTTTTTGGAAATTTAATAGAACAATGAACCCGCGAACATTTTACAAACATCAGGTTTAATTTCTCCATTTTGTCTTTCTATTTTTTAATTCTTTTTACATGGTGGTATAAAATAAATCAATTGCATGTAATTGTATTTTTTACTGTATACGTTTTGTAACAATGACTTTACCACATATTACTGTAAGCATTCGTAAAATAGTCACAAATTAATAAACCTACTTGAATACATACATAATCCCTAATGCATCTCCTGTAAGTTAACTTAACTATAAATTTACTAAACAAAAATAATATCAAGTAAAAGCTGTTATAAATCATTAAACAAAGTTTTTGTAAGTTTCACACAGTTTTATTAATAATTGTCTCTGACCTTGTTATTTTAAGTGTTCTATTGTCGACTGCATTATAAAATAATGAAGTTTTTGTGTTGGCACCATATTTCAAATGTCAAGCTTTCGAAGTAAATGCATTTTCTCGTGATGTTGTAAAGTAAATAAACTATTTTTAAAAAGTTGCCTGTCTGCCTGTTTGTTTATATCTACTTTAGTATACCAATTTTGATGAAAACTAATTTTTGGGCTCTCTTTGGGCGCGTCGCAAATTGTTCATCTTTTGGGTTAGTCTAGCCACTAGGTCTTCATTATATGCCTATTTTATTAAATTAATAAGAATTTCTCAATATTATTCCCAAGATAGCGGTCATTGTTGAATTTACACATATTGTGGTGGACATAATTGCCCTTGAAATTAAATTAACCCGTTCCCTTCAGAATTTGTAAGTTCTCAGACCACGGTCTGATATATCCAAAAATTTATGAATCTGTGCCATAGCCAAAATAAAAACGTATATAAAATTTAATCAAAATGGGCTCAGCCGAACTCTAGATAGACACGTGCACACATAGACCAGCAGACCGACGCCTATCTAACAGTAGTTTATTTACGCTTTCCCATAATGGAGAAGTGCGCTCGCTCTGAAAGCTCGACATCCAATATTTGGTGCCATCACTTAAACTACCTCATTTCATACAATGCGGTCGGTATTACTGTATAATTTAATAAATCGTTCATTTTTTTCGAATAGCGAATTCGACTACGCTTATTGTTTTCTAACCCTAAAAATACACAAAAAACAGCACAAAATAATTTTGGTACATTAATGAGAACAGTTTAAGAAGTGTATTGAAAAAGTGTTATTTTCTTATTAAAGAAAAAGAAGATAATCCATTCATTTGTATTTACTGAATTGAATTCATACTACTTAAGAAAAACATATTACTTATTCTATAATATTTTTTATATAATATTTTACGTAATATATACATACATACACATATCTTATTTTTAAATTTTGAAATAGCATTTTCACATGTAGTGTCAATTATTTGTCCACGTGCAGAAACTACGACTTATAGACTTTCATATCAAAGGAAGAAAAATAAAATAAATATGTAATATAAAAGTTAATTGGTATCATTGCCATTACCAACTAGAAATTATGTACATATAAAATATATATTATTTTAATGTTTTAAATCAAATCATAACTAACAGTTATATTAGTTATCATACAGATATGCAAAGGATTGAACTTTGTTACATTAATATGAAATATTCGTACTTGACATTTATATATACATATGCAGGATGTCTTACATCAAAGTGCACTTCTATACACCATTGTATAAGCCCTCATGAGTAGACAAAACTTTTGTATGGAGACTATGTCCATAGCTTGACAGGTTCAAAATTACAGGGGCTTAAAGCCCAACTGTCATTTTTACTTATTGAAATTTTAAGTATAAGTTCGCGCCTGTGTAAGACAGACCATAATTATTGACTTTAAGCTCCTGTTACTCCGAACCTGCTGAGCTGTGAATATAGTCTCCATACAAAAGTTTTGTCTAAACATGAGGGTCTATGCAATCGTATATATATAGCATTGTACTTCGATACGAAACACCCTGTATATATTATATACTTACATATGTACTTAATAATATTTCTTAAAAAAGAATGCTTAAAAAAGCATTGTTATTTCATATTTTTCAAAAATCTATTCAACTGATTCGTTTGAAAAATAGACACGTAAATAATATTTGCTATGAATTATACAATTTGTGTATTACATACATACAAATTATTAGTATAACGTGTAAAATGAGATAATTTCCATAATGATATTTGAGCTTAATTTCCGGCGTAACTATTCTTAAAATATGCTTAAAGAACATTTAATAGAATTACTTTATATGCATTGTTTAAGAATATGATACGCGGAAATCAAAGCTAAAGAAAGAACTTTAAGCTTGGATTACTAACGCCGCAACCTAATTAATATTGTAATAGACTTTTTTAATAGGTGGCTCCAGATAATGACTTCATACTTTGCGATTTCATAGCCTGATGTGACAAAAACCATTTCTTCTACTATTTTTGGTTAAAAGACAATAAGGGTCTTCAAAGATTAAAATTTAACAATTTTTAACGACTTATATCTCTTAAACCAATTTAAACAAGTTATCAAGATCAACAAAATGTTAAATAAAGCTTGCGTGGTCTTTTTAAAGAACATACTAACATCCGTTAGAAGGTTTCGAAGATATAACAGTTTTTTGCACAAAGTTAATGTCGAATTTGTGAAGTTATGGTATTTTTTTGTAACTTCAGAAACCACCCTAATTAACATAGTTTTATTAGTTTGGCCTTCAAAATGTTCGCAGTATTAAATTCCAAATCCGTTTCCCTCTTTTTTTGCTCTTTAAGAAAATTTTAGGCAGCGCAAACTATAAGTATTTCTAGATCGAAATTAAAAAAAAAAAATTAAAATGATATTTTTTTTCAAAATTAAATTTTAATAAAGAAGTAATATAATAAGAAATAGGAAATGATAATTTCTGGTGATTTTGTATTCACAAAATTCAAAAAGCTCTATAGCAGTCCCCCTTTCTCACATATAAACATTCTTAAAGAAACTAACTATAACCGCAACATTTTCATTTTGTACAAAATTTATTCAATATAATAATTGAAATTATGAAAAAGTGAAATTAATTATATTAGAAACGAGAAAAAATAGAGTTGACCATGTCAACTCTGTGATACCCGTACGAATTTGTTATCCTATGTGCGCGAATAAAGATGCCGTAACTAACTGTGGGACAGACTATGACTTTAAGTTGCCGCATTAGCATATCAATTTATGCAAAATTTCAGTGCTATGTGTTTTTCAAAATACTGTGTGTGCCAAACCAGTAGTAGAAGTTGTATGGCAGCTACCAGAAGGAGCCAAGCAATTTTAACGACTTTTATGACACACATTGGCTCTACTAATACATTCGTTTGTGTAAAATTTGAATACCATAGCTTTTATAGTTTCTGAGATATAAACAAATAACTTTTGAAGTTGTATGGCAGGTGCCAGAAGGAACCAAGTAATTTCAACGACTTTTATCAAATACATCGGCCCAACTAACATATTCGTTCTTGTGAAATTTCAATACCATAGCTTTTATAGTTTCTGAGATATAGACAAATAACTTTTGAAGTTGTATGGCAGGTACCAGAAGGAGCCAAGTGGTTTCAACAAATTTTATGAAACACATTGGCCCTACTAATATATTCGTTTGTGTGAAATTTCAATACCACACCTTTTATAGTTTCTGAGATATAGCCAAATAAATTTTTAAGTTGTAAGGCAGCTACCCGAACCGGTACCCCGATCATATCCAACTTAAATAGGGTTCTGGCACTTATTACAATAAATCATTTGTGAAAATTTGGTGAACTTAGCTCAATTAGTTTTTGAGTTATCGTTGGGACGAACGGACGGACGCACGGACGGACGGACAGACGGACAGACGGACGGACGGACGGACAGACAGACGGACGGACGGGCGGACAAAGGTAAATCAACTCAGAATTTGACTCTGATCAAAAACATATGCTTGAGTCTATATATAAGACCGTTATTTCTTAGCGTTACAAACGGTAAGGCAAATTTAGTATACCCTTCGAACATACGTTCGTACGGGTATAAAAATGAAATTAAAACTAGGGAGATTTTTTCGAATTGATACCATATACTTTTTATTGAAAGAAAAGTTCATATATGTATACATATTATATAGATAGACAATTATTGTCGAATTGACAATATCAAGAAACTCTTGTAACAATAAATTTATCTTAATTTTGGATATCATTGAAAATACTTAAATGAAAACATATAATTGATTCATTTAAAAGTAAAAGTAGCTTTTGATTGCACTCGATTTTAAAATTGATTTTTTTTACATGTAACCTATAAATATTGCGAAAGCGAAATTTGCTATGGTTGTAGTTTTCTTTTTCTTTTTTGTTTCTAATTGAATAAAATTATGATTATCGATTTAAATTTGTTGTAAATTTTTTTAATAAATGTTAAGGGCTTCTATAGGTAAAATAACCATACTGTAGAAAAAGTGAATGAAAATGCTTTATATACGAATACACGCAAATCACAAATTACAAACGAATAATTTTATTAAAATTTTTGAAAAAAATTTTTGAATAGCATAAAATAATATAAATTTAATTTTAAGTCTTGCGTTTTTTAGGTCAATGGGAGTAGGGTTTAATAGCAAATTACTGTTATCACGTGCAACTGACAATTCGTTTTGTATATCGTCCATCAAGTGAACCGTTAACTTATTCCAGTTAACGGTTGATTCAAATGAACCGTTAACAACTTGATTCAAATGAACCGTTAACTTATTCCAGTTTTTTTTAAATCGCACCTCTCTATAGTCTTATACGGTAAATTGAAATAATCTGATTTTTTTTGTATTGTGACAAAGTCCTGTGCTATATCTCTTTCTTTTGAATTCGTTGTCACTAAAATGTATAGTGTGTTATAATTAAACTGTGCAGCATTTGCATTTGTTGACAGCTTATTTCTTTAATTTATGCATACGCAAAAATGTAGAATTGGCCAAGAAAAGATTCAGTTTCCGAGGTGTGATATATCCAAAAAGTTGATAGCCAAAATAAACTCATACATAAAATTTCAATCAAAACCGGTTCAGCCGCACTTGTGATACACGCGTGCACACACTCACCGACTGACCGACAGGTTGCCGAAAATAGTTTATTTACACTTCGCTACCATGGAGAAGTACGCTCCCACCGAAAATTTGGTATGCAAAATTTGTTGCCATAACATATCCTCCCTTATTATATGCAATGTGGTCGCTAATACTGTATAAGTTAATAAATCGTTTTTAGCACTTTTCCAAAAAATTTTTGAAAAAAAGTGCTTATTAGTTTCACTCTGTCCATCTGTCCGTGTGTCTGTTTACAAAACTTCTACACCTTTGAAGATAGAAAGCTGAAATTTTACACGTACGTAGATCTTTCCAAAAAACCATTTTCTGATTTTATTTTATTTTATTTACCAGTTATTTTAAAACCCTAAAAACGGCATTTTTTAACTATTAATTGCAATAAAGCCATAAACATTTTTCAAATCTTGCAAAAGCAGAAAAATAGTAGTTGGCTTCTTCTTGATAGAATAGATCACGGCAAATGGTATGCCGTGATCGGCATACCATTTCTAAACGTTAAAAAAAGCAAAATGGCGGTTAAAATTTACCGTTATCTAAAATCCGTTTTTTCTAAATTTTTGATGCCGTTTTTCTTTTACACCGTAAGTTACAGGAGTCTGCAATTTTAGAAACTCTTAGATATTGGTAAATAATTTATTTCGTTAGAAGAAAATTTTTTCCCATCTCCACCCCCCCTCAAGTTATCACTTCTCAAAATTTGTAAAATTTGAATATTTGGCACCTTATATTTGCGAAACCACAAGCTTTTTCAAATTTCTATTAACGCAAAAAGCTAACGGTAAATTCCGTATCATTAAAAAATATAATTATTTTTCTTAACTCACACAATTAACCCTTAAAATCGAGCATCATGTGAACCCTTCTTTAAATTTATTTTTGCCACTCAGAAAAGTGCTACAGTACAAACCATTGGTTTGACCAAATTTTATTCGAATAGCGAATTCAACTACGTTTCTTTACTGTTTTCTAATCCGAAACATATACAAAAAGCAGCACCACATAATTTTGGTACATTTAAGAAGTGTATTGAAAAAGTGTATTTCTCTTATTAAAGGAAAAAAGAAATATTTTATAAATCATTTATTTGTATTTACTGAACTGAATTCATACTACTTACGGTAAACATATGCTTAAGCTATAATACTTAACATAACTACTAAGCTATAATATTTTACGTAATAGATACATATATCTTATTTAGGAATTTTTGCTCTTTAAGATAAAATTTTAAGCAGAAAACTAGAGGGAAATGATAATTACTAATAATTTTATAGCACAAAATTAAAAAAGTTTTAGAGCAAATCCCCCTTTCTCACATATAAACATTTTTATAGAAACTAACTATAACCGAAACACTTTCTTTTTGCACAAAATTCATTCAATGTGTAGGGGTGGTTGAAATATACTCGTTCTCGAGCTACAACCTATTAAAAAAAAGATACCGAACCTTTCCTACATTTAAATAAATAATCATAAGTTCGGAATCATACAACATAGAGTTATCATTGGGTGCTTGTTTTACAAGCGATTGATTGTTCTTTATTTTTTGTTTTTCAATTAATTTTATTTCGGCTATAATTTTGGAGATACAGCTCATCAAAGTCAGAATTTTTGTATTTTTTTATTAATAAAATTTTGTTATTTTATTTTTTAAAAACATGCGAAAAATGCATTTCTCACACAATTTTTTGCTGAAAATTGATCAAAGAATCATCCCTGAAATTATTTGCCACTTTATGCGAAACAAGCTGTATATATGTACATAATCTAACCCCGTTTACACTTTTTAACTTAAGAAGAATTCTATTCCTGTTGTAATAATCTGAACAGAAAACGTTGAATACTCACATTATTAACAATAATATTCTTTTCTACATTATTTTATTCAAACTTCTTTCTTACAATTGCAGCAATGATTGACAGCATGAAAATTGAAACAATAATATTAAATAACAAAAATGCATGCATATGTAAACAAATTTTATACACATACATACATACAATATGTACATCAATTCAGTAAGGTATAACCATACTTTTGTTCGGGTACTAAGGCGAGTATTTTGAAAATTGCTTCGAACATTTCATATTCTTAATTATTTTAAAAGTATTTACATTTTACAAGAATAATACCCATTTACCTATGTTTGTGCTGATATCTATTTTCTTATATTATTTAAATAAAAAGATGATAAATTATTTTCTCGTACAAGTCACTTCATTTACAAATGTTTGTTTTTTTTTTTTAACCTCAAAGAATAAGATTTAATTATTTTTATTTTAAGGTCCATTTAAAATATATTCAACTTATAAACGTGAACATTGTAATATTTTAAATTTAAATCATTTTTTACTAGACACCTTTAATTAGGTTCTTTGCTATGAAGGAGAAATATAAATATCTTTATATTTCTCCAATAAAAGGAATTTATTAAATACTTTTGTTTGTGAACTTAACTATTTTTTGAAATATTTTGAAAATACATACATACATCAAAAACTTTATTTCTTTTTATATTTTCTTGCATTAACAAATTATTAATATATTCTTATTTTAATAGTTTTCTTCATTATATAATTTTCAATTAGATAATAACAATTGAAATAATTAACTATGTTTATATAAATATTCAATTATTCCAAAGTAAAAAACTAATAACGGTACATGGAATTTTTTTACAAACAATTATTTTACTTTATATACCGCATATTTCTGAATGTGTAGAATGGTATAGAATTTAAGAACACTTTCTGAAAAAATTAAAAGATTTTTTCAATTCGGATCTCGAGAATACATTATAACAATATGAAGAACCAAAGAATACTGAAGACATTTGTGAAAAATAAAGAAATTTAATATATCGTCAGATTTTTTAAAAAATCTGAAGCTATAATAATAATTATCGTGTTGTTTTTTGTTTTTTTTTTCCTAAATTTCAAGAAACGAAACTTTGCAGACATACTACACATACATATATGTAAGTATTTTTTATTATTATTTTTATGCACATTTTATTGGTATATAAAAATTGTAAGCATATTGCATATAATACATACATAAGAAATTGTACATATTTGTAGGTATATTTTTACATTATAGCATAATCAATGTCAATTGTTTTTATGTGTAACCATCTTCCCCAAAGAAAGTTGTTTATGAAAAATTTTAAGTGATCTGTTTGCTTATATCTTTAGTTTATACCTTTAGAGAAGAAGTATAACACAAAAAATAAGAACGTTTTATATATTGTTTTCGTTTATTCTTTTTTATACAAAACACGTACATACATATAAATATATATTATTTAATAAGTACGCCACTATAGTGTTAAACCTTCTTTAATTTTTAAGTATTAAATATTTGATGTTAAAATTTTTCAATATATAAAAAAATTTTAATTATATTTAATGCATAGTTTTCTTTCGACGGAAAATCAATCGAACTTTAGAACGATGTATTAACATTAGGGCAAAATCTTAGGTAAATTTGCTATAGAGCTATTTAACAACATTGGATCAAACCAATATCAATTGAAACGTAACGCTTTTCTTTTAAACATAGATTATTACAGATCCTTTATTTTAAAAATTATATATTTTATTTTTGTATGATTAACTTTAGCACGACACATTCACTTAATATAATAACTTTAGGATTTGAGCAAAAAGTAAAAAAAAGTGAACGTGAAACACAATTAAGTTAGTTGCGGTGTTTAAGGTAGCCAGAACCAGTGTTAAAGCAAGTTAGATTGATAAAATTATGTTTGAGATATATCCATATTCCATTACTACTTTGAAGCGATTGCAGCTTTAAATTTTTCATGAATTATACCGCAGCATGCTGCTATCAACTTGTTTACTCAGTTAAAAGGCTTATATAACGGTATGTCAATAAATGATGTCAAACTTGCCGTTTTCACATAATAGCTGCTCAAAAAATCTTAGAATAGAACAATGAAAGTTTTTCATTTTTACAACCTTTGTATTAACTCACACCTAATGTTTGGGTTTTTCTTACCTATTTTAAAGCATTTCTACAAGTCTGATTGGCTTAAAATTTTACATTGAGTGGTAAGTCTGATGAAAATGCAATATTTTAGTGTTTTTTTAAGGGTGGATCGGTTCAATGAGCTTCCACATAACTCCTCCTTAGCGAAACCTGATATCTTTGAATCTCTTCAAGCTACATATTTCAAAATTAAGGAAAACTTGTTGAACCTTGTGCTTACAAATATTTTAAAACAAGGGGATTGAGGACGGCTCAAAAAAGGAGTTGAAGACGATCAACCTCCAAAAACTCTTTTTCTGCTCACCCTTTTTCTTAACAATAAAGTTATACATACTCCAAATTAGAGGAAAAGTCGTCGAGTGTTGCATTTAGAAGTTTATATACAATATAAAGGTTGAGGAAAGCTCGATTCGATGAGCTGCCAAACAACTCCTTTTTTGTCTACGCTAATCTATTACAGTTACGTTCTTGAAATTAGAAGGCTCGGTTCGTTGACCGAACAACCCCTATTTTATCTGCGATCAAAACCATAAACTTAAAATTTCGTATGTTATTACCGAATGTTGTGCCAAGAAATTTTACAATGTGGAGGTTGAAAAAAAATGCTTTAATAAAAAATTCCATTTAAATTACATACATATGCACATTCATATCTAGGGTTTTTTGTCAGAACATGATATCTGCATTTTTGATATTTTTATTAAAATATTAACTAATGAAAGTTTAGTGAAGATGGTTTAGAAAGTTAGCATTTTAAAATGTTGCAACTAAATATTGCATAGTATTAAAATTTTAACATATTTTTCTATATCAAATAAAATATACACTTTTTATACCCTGCACTTCGTGAAGGAACAAAAAACTTATGACTTTCCAAAAATTAATTTTTTTTTGTATTGTACCTAAAATTTAAAATTTTTTTTATAATAAAAAAATTTTCTTCCTTCTTAACAATAAAATTTTGACGCTAAAATATTAAAGCAAATTCAACACTTTTATAAAATCTTTAACTTGGCACTTAGCACTTATTTTCGAAATAACAAAAAATAAACAGAAAACTTTATAGTTTAATATTAAAATCATTCCTGTTCAAAATTTTTAACTTTAAAACCCATAAACGTCAATTAAAAAAAAAAATTTTTTGGAGCCTCATATGATTCTTAAGATTCTTACAAAAATGGGGTGGTGCGTGTTTTATAAAATTTGCCATTTGTTATTAGTTTTGTTTTCATTTTACTAGCAGCTTTTGTTAATTTATTGCGTATAAATAAATAGTATACTGTGTATTTGATAGTCAAGAGAACAGTTTATATTTTAGATCGAAAAAGAATTTTTCATCGAGAGGGCATTACATACTTGTTGAATTGTTAAACTCATTATTTTAATATAATCATACTAATGCCACATATGTATATCTATCAGGACAAGTTGAAACTATTTTCCGAAATTTTGAATCGGATTAAATTAAGAAAAACAATTTTTAATGTTTTATATTTTCGAAGTATGCCAATTGAAAAATTTTTTTATTTTTTTTGTGAAATTTTTGAGTATTCTTTGTGAATCTCATTTTATTTGGTATAGTTATCTAGATTCTTTGCTTTTTTTCAATTTGTTTTAAAAAATTTTTTGAATTTAAATTCAATTTTTTAATAAAAAATTTTTCTCTGTAATTCAGTTTGAAAGACAAGAAAGGATGTCTGCGCTAAAAATTGCAATTTTTTTTTAAATGCATTTTTCAGATGGAATTTACTAACCGATATCTTTTTATTGAATTTAATTGAAATTTAAATTTTAAATTTAAAAAAATATGTAGAATCAGTAGAGTTAAAAATGTTCATTAATTTCCTTCACACAAATAAATTCCGACACCTCTTCCATTTAAATTCCATATAAACTTGGAATTTATTTTTGATTTGCTTTATTAGCTTGATAAATATATATGGCATTAATCATACTATATGTAATAATATATTAATAAAAGATTATTATAGGCTCGCATGATCATTTATTATTATAAAGCAACATGTAATACGCCCCACCCCCACGAGAAAACAATAATATCAACATATATTTCCGAGCAAATTTTATTTTCTTTGCAGCTTTGAATTTTGTTTGATCAGAATTAGATGGCATTCGACTTTTTCCTACACACAAACTCTTCCACGGATGTTTACACACCAAATAATTTTATAATATTTATTGAAATTGTTGTGAAATGTAAGAAATTGTAAAATCAAAGTTATTAAAAACCGTTCACGTATGTAATTATGCAAAATTTTATATTTGCATGTATGTGTAAACGTCAATTAAAAGTTATAAAATTAAGAAATTTTGGTCTTAGATACAAAATCGCAATAAACGTTAATCAAATTTCAAATAAAAAATTTTTTGACTTTTCATGGAATTGTTGCAAATACATTTTTTTAATTTTCCTATAACATTCCTAATCATTCGATAAAAGAACAATTTTTTTATTGAGTTATAAAAAATATTCCATTACTTGTAATTTGCTAAAAGCATTAAGAGTAATTTCAGATTTAAATCAATTTCCCAAAAAATAAAATTTTAAATAAATGGTAATAACCTTATCTACTATTTATACGTATGTGAATGTGTGTTTAGTTAAGTAACATTTACTGGTCTACATAATCAATTTTATAAGAGTCTATATAATTTATTTTATAATAACCAAAAAACATAAATTTTATAAACGAGTTCTTTTATTGCAGCAAATGTAAGTAATAAGAATTTTACTTTTATACAATTCATTTTTGAACATTATATATCAATAATTGTGTTAAATTACCCAATACAAAAAGTTTTGAAAAAAAACAGTGCACCTAAATAAAATGGTTAAATAAAACAAACGAAACTTAATTTAATTTTGGATAGAATTATTATGAATTCAAAGAAAAATTTAGCCATTTTATGCTACCTCAGCTAATATTAATCGTAAACACTAGAAAAAAGTTGTTGCTTGAGTTGTTTATGTTGTTGATCTCAAGATTCATAATGCTTAAATTTTTTTAATGGCGCGCGAAACATATACATAGAGAACATTGATAAGGATAATTCAACTGATGTTTTTTTGCCGCCCGATAAATTTTTATTTGCGACTTAAAAAAAAATTAAGTTTGTTTCACTTATTCATTTATTTACTTATTGATTGTTTAAAAAAAAGATTTGCCAAAGACAATATTTTTTTTTGGTTAAATGTTGGCTTTTCGCAGTATGTTCAATGCGTACTCAGATCTTTTGTACACCATTTTGTTTTAACACAGTCTAAAAAATTTAATTTAATATACATACATAACTATTTCTTATACGAATTTTTAACTTTAGCATGGTTTGAATC